TGGGACATCTGGAGATGCTGACGTAGATCAGATGGAAATAAAGAGGGGGAAGCAAGGTGTTTAAAAATAGAAGCATTGAGGAGTGGAGGATGTAACCAGAGAATCTGCTATTTTGGCTTTGATACATAAAAGTGCACTTTCCTCCCCTGTTTATAAGACTGAAATTCCAGATTCTCTATTTAAAGGTGGTAATCCAAATTTCATTGTCACGTAAATGGTGTCTAGGGAATTATACTTGCATTTTCTCAAATGTTAAATATAAATATTTCTAGTATGAGGAGAGCTTGTGAAGTAGAATGTTTTATATTGCTTGATAGCTTTCTTTTTAAAGAGGAGAAAAATTGTTTGATCATCTGTACCTTAACACGACAACTGTGGTTTTGTGCTCAGTACAGCTCGTTGCTGCACTTGAAGATGATTTTGGGCTGTTAGTTTAAGACTTTTCTTTAAAGTGACTTTTATATAAACTTAACTTTCAGTGTTTATTGTCACTAAGATTTCACTAGATAAATGAAGTATTTCTGAGTGTTATGGAATACCTGGAAATTTTATTTTATATCTACACATATAAAAATTTTATCTGCTATTTATTATCATATATGTAATTTTTTAAAAGTTGAAGAGGTGTAGAAGTAGTCCCTATATGAGTCATTTTTTTCCTGCTTTGTACATGATTTTTAAAACATTAAAATTACATGGCTGACTGAAGGCCCTCCACCATGAAATTCTTCGGTAATGGCCGCCTGGACTTGGACCCCGTTTTACAGCTTGCCTGCTGTTTACTGAAGTAGCAACCTGCCTATCTTTCTGCCTGTTGGCATTTCATGTGTGGTTAGTCTTGGCGGGTTTGTGGCAAACAAATCTGATTGTTGGTTTTAGATTTCAGGCCTCATTTAAGCCTTGAATTACTCTAGCCAAAATGGTGGTGATCACTTCTCATGTATGATGTAACTTTGGACTGTGATGCTATGCAATTCTTGAATCAGAATCCCAGTTCAGGACCTGAATAATAGTAGGGAGATTTTTTTTGCACAGTAATAATGTTCACTTTGATTCCTTGGCCAATTCCAATATAGAAAATTTTGTCCTTGTTGGCTTGAATATTGATTTTATTTTCATTTAAGGATCTTTGTTTTCATAAAAGTAACAGCATAGTAACACTGAAATATATAATAAACTCATTTGCTACATTACTAAGCAACACTAACATTGATTCATAAGGTTGAGTTTTTTAATTCTGTTCTTATTTTAAAATTACTTTTAAAAATTGCAGTGTTTGTTTTCTCTGAATGTATAGGAAATATCGTCCTCACTTTCTAAAATAGAGAAAATTTATTATTAGAAAGGCTAAATTAGAGAATTATAAGACTTGTCCAAAAAAAAAGATTTTTCCTCTTACCCATAATGTATTTTTAAAATTCTAATTCTAACTTTAATTGATATATATGCTGCAGTTTTTCTTCAGATTGGTAGTTTTATGTATGGAGAACATTTTAAGAATTTTCATTAATTATTACAGCATAAACTGTTAATTTCAATACCAAAATATCTGAACATTTTATGTTGTGAAAACAGTTTGAATTAAAATTTTTATTTTTTTAGTGAAAACAGTGTACTGACTTGTTTGTTAGAACAACATGGTTAGAAATAAACATTTCTATTTCAGATGTAACAGTGGGTGAGTTTTTTGAAAGTATAGTGATTAGAGACACACTTGAAAATATATATTGCTTGCTTCTATCTGGTAATCTGAACAAATAATGTGAAGACAACAATATGCAATTTAACAACCATTGTTGAATTCTTACTATCTTCTCTAGTGAAGCTCTGTATCACTTCTAATTTTTTTGGTTACTTTTTATTGTCTTTAATGGTTTGATCAATCTTGCATTCTTACATTTGGCAATCTAAGCAACTTCATTGAAGATAACGATATGTAATATAACAACCATTGTTAATTCCTATCAACTTGTTTTGAAATTCTGTATCATTTCTGTGTTGTTTTGTTTTTGTCTTTGTTGTTGTTGTTTTGTTACTGTTTTTTTCTCTTTAAAATATATGTTGTTAAAAAGGATGTTAACCCAGTTCAATGACATTTTTAAAAGCATTTTAAAAATTTAACAGTGTACATATAGGTATGTCACACGCATAAGTATATATGCTAAAGTTATTAAATTGCACTTTTCTCTGTACATAGGCTACTTATCTGCTGTATATACCTACTGTGTAGAACACACAGGTTCTATGATTAAGGACTTAAATAATTGCACATATATTTAGGAACATAAAATGTAAACATTCAGTATTCATTTCATCATCTTGGTTTAGTGTTTGAGCTGCGGAATCAAAGTATTTACAACCGTGGCATTTCTGCTTTCCAACTCCCTATTTTGGCAAGTTATTTGTAACTACTAAAAATACAATAAATAACAGTACCTGCTTTGTAGATTTTTGCTCACTAAGGGTCAGTTATCACTACAATTATTATGGATGCTGCTACTGTAATAATATCTACATACTCAGTATGATAGCTTTATAGTATAAGTTATCTCTTTATACTAATTACAACACTAGGTACCTCCATGAATGTTGGGTATTTTCATGATTATAATATTTTTCTGTTTATAAAAATAATACATACTTTTTCTAGAGTATACTCCCCTCCCAGTGAACAATATTTAGTAAGCGTTAGCCAAGTAATCATTTTTTGGATCTACCCAAATCTTTTAAACTAGTTCAACTTTTTTTTCTTAGTACCAGGAGTTGAACTCGGGACATTGCACTTGCCAAGCAGGCACCTATGCCACTGAGCTATATCCCTGACCCTAAACTATTACCTCTTTATAATGTAGTTGTAATATAACTTGGCTCATTTTCCCCATTGATATGCATTTAGTGGTCACATTCTTCATCCATTGTTACCATGGAATTATTTTACCCTTTGTGTCCTTGTTTTTGTATTTTTCTGTATTTGCAGATATATGTCTTTAAACCAAGTATCTTTGGTTTTTGGCTGAATCGTAGGATATGTACATTTAAACTACAAATGGATAGATTCAGGAGAATTTCCTTCCAAAGTTATCATTTTCACGTACTACTTGTTTAATCAAATCAATACAAATACTTCGTGCTATCCATGTTTATTGTTTTGCCAATTTGATATGTAATAATAGTTGCTTTGTTCATATTTGCATTTTAATTCTTAGGGAAGCAAGTAGCTTTTTTTTATATATATTTGGTTATTTCCATTTTGTCTGAATGTGTATTTATTCCTTTCCTGCAGGTCTTCCTTTTACTGGCCTTTAAAAGCCATTTCTTTGATGTGTTTTCCTTCCCTGTGTGGCAAATATTTTCTCACAGACTTTTCCCTTTGCTTATGGTCATTTCTGAGGTGCTGTGGTTGTTTACATCTTCATATTGTCAGGTCTGTCCCCTGTTTCCTTGGAAGCTTATGGATTCATATCATTTCTAAAAGATTTTATTTTCAAGACTATAAAATAGTCCACCATATTTTCTTGTAATAATCTTATATTTTTATGCATTTAATTTTTTTTATCTCCTAGGAGTTTAAGTCCACTGTGAGGGGAAAAAAGAAACTTTACTTTCTTCCTAATATGCAACCAAGTACTGATGGCTCTTATTGGAAAAAATTCAATTATTACTATTAATAAGTATTAATTACATGAGTATTATTGAAGACTTATAATTGCCAACATATTAAGTATTGTACATAAATTATTCATTTCAATTCTTGTAATTGCCTTCTATATTTGGTCCTATTGTTATTATGCATACTTTACAGATGAATGGAATCACACCATGGAGAGTTTTAGTAATTTGGCAGAGATTATGCAAGTTCTGAGTGGTAAAGAAGGCAGGACCTAGATCTAAATAGCCTTGTTCCAGAACATTCTAACCTAATTACTGCTATGCGATTGCATTTATGTGGCTTCCATGGGCCTCACACCAGGACAACGTGCCAGTTTTAACCGTCCTCTGCATCTGTCTGTAGGGCTCATCTTCCCCTTGGTCTTGGCCTCCCTCTGCCCTCCTCATTTCATTAGTGAGATCAGTGTCTCTGATCTGATGGGCAGTTTCACAGTGTCTCTGATCTAATGGGCAGTTTCGCAGCTGTGCTGCTGAATTCCAGGACTGAAACCTTCTCTACCAACTGCAAGAGAAGGGATCGATTGTGAATTTGAACAGAGACTGGGTTGCTTTGAAGTTTCTTGTCTTTAATATTAGTTGGATACTACATGGCACGCTCAAGTATCATATTAAAATATACTGAATTTAAAGTTTTATGGTATGTGAATGGTATTTTCCAAGTGAAATTTCTAAATGAGAAACACATAAAATGTTGAGCGCTTCATAAGGAGTGGTCAATATGAAGATTTTTTTTTCTAATTTTCTGAAATGTTTTGCCTTTTAAAAATTAATGTTTATCTTTTTAATCTTTTCAAATCATCTCTGCTCCTCCCCAAGTTCTAGCATTAAAAAGTGTGTCATACATAGGCGTAACCACTAGTGTTTTACTGCAGAGCAGGGTGACCACAGATAATAAGGATGCAATGTATATTTCAAACAACTAGACAAAAAGGATTTTCAATATTTTTACCATGAAGAAATAAGCAACGTTAGAAGAGATAAATATACTGAACTTGATTAAATATTATCCAGTGTGCACATATATTGAAATATCACATAGTACTTCACTGATATATATCATTTTCATGCATCTATTTAAATTACTTGAAATAAAAATGTAATAATTTTTAAAAATTTGCCATGAACACATCTAAAGAGTGAAAGCCTATGACAAATTGCAGCAAAATTTATAATAGAAATATAATTTGAATTGGATTTTGTCAAAATTCTCGAGTCATCTGAAGTTATTTTTCAATTAAAAAAAAAAAAAAAAAAAAAAAGCCCAGTTCATATCTCCGTGGCTCCAGACTCAAGTCTTTTCTTACCGAGCCTTCTCTGCTTTGCTGTCTCAGTCCTCAGGAACCAGTATTACAGTGGACATTGCTGTGATGGGTGAAGCTCATGGCCTCATTACTGACCTCCTGGCGGACCCTAACTTGCCCCCAAATGTGTGCACATCCCTGCGGGCTGTGAGCAACCTGCTCAGCACACAGCTCACCTTCCCGACCATCCACAAGCCCAGAGCAAACCCCACGGTTTCCTTCAGTGAAAACTACACCTGTTCGGATTTGGAAGAGAGCTCCGAAAAAGACAAGCTCACCATTCCCAAGGTGGGTGTTCATGACATGCTCCCTAAAGGGTTAAAAGTTTCATTGTCTCCTGGGTATTCTGTTAAGAGAAATTAATAGTAATGACATTACACATGTCACTGATGACTAAGTCACAGTTACCATAAAAAAGGTAGTGCATTCTGTGAGTTATATTCTTACAGTTGACACTTGTAATTTATAAATCAAAGCTGTAAAAATACACCAGTGGTTCTTGGGAGTATAAACCGCTGTATAAGATAATATAAATTATTGAGTAACTTTTGTGGAAAGATTTTTGCTAATAATAACTAATACAGTATGTGTATATACATGCATAAATCCTATTGAACTAAAATAATTATAAAATCACCCCAGAGGTAATTGACTCTCATTCCTATAATTCTGTGTCTGTATAAGCATTGAAATGAGGATTCTCAAAGATAGTATTTTTACAGTACTCATGTATTTTGGCTAGAAAGTCTTTTGAGTTTCTGAGCACCCTAATTTTAGATAGACGATAGTCAATCAGTGTATTTTTACTAATTCACTTCTAACTAAAAACTTATTTCTTGCCACTCTATTACATAAAATGTATTGATATAAAACATGCTTGTTAATACAATCAACACTCCTTCCTAGCGCCTGAGGAGAAGTTTGCCCCCAGGCTTGTTGAGAAGAGTTTCATCAACATGGACAACTACCACCTCAGCCACAGGTCTGCCCACCTTGGAACCTGCACCAGTGAGGAGGGACCGCAGTGCCAGCATCAAGCTACACGAAGCACCTTCATCCGGGTAAGACAGGGCACCTGCTGGTTTCCTGTCTCTCTGAGAAGTTACTTACTATAAAGAAAGTATGCATGGTAAGAGAAGAGAGGCCCAGCCAATTACAGTTGGTTAGAGGCCAGCTCTGAAAATGGAAAGGATGTGTAGCTTAAATGCAGAGCAGTATAGAGATTAATGTTGGATAATGTTTTAGCCACTTGGGCATCACTGGGATCTAATACCAGATCTCCCAGTTTAAAGGAGGACAGGTTTACTTTGGTTCACTGTTTCCATCCATGGTTGCTGGCTCCAGGGTTGACACAGCATGGGGGGAGGGCATGGCAGAGGAAAACTGTTAAATACAGGGCATCCAGGAAGCAGAGAGAAAAGGGAGGAGCCAGGGACAAGAATATACACTTCCAGGGTCCCCCCTCCTACCAGGTCCCACCCCCTGATGGTGCTCAGCTACTGAATTCATCTAGGGATGCATCTGCTGATGAGTATAGAGCCCTCAGGACCTGCAGTCACTTTCCAAACATGAGACTTTGGTGGGACATTTTATTTCTAAATCATAACAGGTAAATGGGTTTAAGTTCTGTTGTTTGACCTTAAATACAAAGGAGGAGAGTGACCCAAAATAGTCACCAGTCATTGTCACCTTCAATAGAGAGGATCGAGTGCAGAATAAATAGGCTAGATTTTGCCTATTCTGAGGGTCAGTCCATCCTGGGACCCTTAAATCAGAGGCATCCAGCTTGACATCTGCAAATAGCTGTTAGAGTTCCCATTGACAGACAAGCTGTCCTAGCTTTGTAGGAAAGGCAAAAGTAGATCAAAAACTACATCATCGCCCTAAGAATACCTATGTATGTATGTATGTACATATGCATAGGTTCAACTTTATTGTCTATATTCTAATTTTACAAAGTGACTTAGGGGCTAGAATTAAATCTAAAGACAAGATACTGTGAAGATCTGAAAAGAATTTTGAAGAAAACATCTACTGAGAAAAAGTGCTTTTAAAGGGAGCTATTATATTTCTTCTTTTCTAATTAAAATTTCTAATTAAAATATAAAGAGTATGCTTTAAATTCAGTATTGGCAAGAATATATATCATATAATTTCAGTTTTTCAAACATACGCAGATATCAGTTTCATTCATGATCCAAGGAAGAAAAAAAACTACATCTTTATTGAGTTACAAGATATCAGAAGTCATTTCCTCTTTTCTTGGCTTCTAATATAAATAAAGCACCATGCTGAGGTTGGCAGAGAAATAGATACCTTCTAAATCATAAGAACTTAATGACTGCTGACTTTTCTTGGTTTCTTCATTAAAAATGTTTAATTGGTCTCTTCCATATTAATGTTTGTATTCCAATAAACCTACAGAATCTCAAGCAAACTCAAGCAATTCTGTCATTTATCAGCTTAATTCCATTTTATCTTATTGCCTTTTGTAAAATTTCTTAAATGCCACTACACAGGGAGGTTATACTCTGTTTTATGAACATTCCCTGAAGATTGAATTGGTAATATTTTCTTTTAAAATGTTGATTATTGTCAATTTGTATAGCATAAAATATTGCTGAGTAGTAGTTAATGGTATTATAGTTAAATGTGCTTCAGAAAATGAATTACGTTCTCTGTGTGTATCACTAGATCGGATTCTGATTTTACCAATGCCCCTTGCCAAATTTTTCATCACAGTATAGTGAATGCCTCATGGTTTTCTTTCCATAGAATGATTCTAGGAGACATCCATTCAGCCTTTCTCAAATATCTTCTTTCTTTCTGCTGTTCTTTGTTGCTTTTGGTCAAATCTCATCTCCCCTACTCTTCTCTTAGTCAAATAAAACTGGGGGCTGAAATTGAAAGCGTAGCAACAAATAAGGTTCCAAGAAATTTTAGGAGGTTGATTCCTAAGGATTCTGTCATTAACTTAACTCCTGTAAGAATTCCTACACAGTACGTACTGAAACATAAATGTTTTCAATTGAGATAAAATTTTACGTATCCCACTCTTTCTCTTTCCCCTAAAAATAGTCATGGATGTCTTGCCTGGCTATAGTTTTTCCTACTGCTTACCACTCAATGTCACTGTCCTATAAAAGTCCTGATGTAAAATCTGAAAGTGATACAACATTTTCATCTCACAACCACTATATCCTATTAAGGGCAAACCATAAATTAGTAAGTGACCAGTGTACCACCGTAAACTACAACTGACCCTTGATTATAAGCCCACATTAAAACCCTCTTCATGTGGAGAACTATTATCCAAATTGATGACTGACTTGAAAACTGCTTTGACTTTTTGCCCTGTAGTTTCTTTCTTTTTAAGCCCTCTTTTTTTTTATCCTTTTCCATACTTGCTCTTTCCCTGGGGTACTTTCAGGACTGCAGTGATCAAAAGAAAAACAACAATGAGGACTAAAAATTAAAAACAGTGCACACCTTATGACTGTAGGTATGCAGCTGGATACTGGGAAATGGTAAATGCAGTCTTTTAGAAAAGACACAGAACTGAGAATCAGAAGGATCTGAAGCATGCAGACCTTAGCAGGGCTGAGCCTCCATACCCACTCAGAGAATAATTAGAAGAGAACTGGTGCATAATTAGAGGGCTAAATTAGATGGAAGAGTAGAAGTAGGTGCTTAGAAAAAGGCTTTAGGGAAATAGAAAAGGATGACGTACATCATACCCTAAATCGTTCAAATTAACCATGGAACTGACCCCTGCCTTTGTATATGAGACAAAAAGGAAACTGTAAACTTTGTAAAAGAGGTTACTACCTATTCAGTAACACTTCTAGGATTTAGGATGGAGTTGCTGTAGGGATAAATACAGGTATTAAATCTACTTCGGGGGCTGGGGATTTAGCTCAGTGATTTAGCTCGGCACAGTGCCTGCCTGGCAAGCATAAGGTCATGAGTTTGATTTCCGGTACCAGAAAAACAAAACAAAACAAAAAAAAACAACCAAAAAAACCCCACAACAACAACAACAAAAAAAATACAAAACAATCTACTTCGACACAAAGGGTTGAGATCTTTCTTCACAGGCCCAGAGATGTCTTCTTATTATCAACATGAAGAAAACAAATAAAGTTTTCCTTAAGCTGCTTTCATCTTCGGAATCCAAATTATGACCTATAAGCGGGAATCAGGAAGTGAGAGTCAATGAAAAGCATAAACTGTGGTGAACACGTAAAGCAATCTATGAAAGTGCTTGTGAACTATAATGCATTTTATATAAAAGCGTATACTCTATTTTATTAATAGCACAATAAATTAAAATTAATATATAGTATTACAATGAGATAGCTATATATTTTATGTACCTTGACGTCATCAAATCCCTATGCATTAAAGATACTCACCTGTTATACTTTATAACCTTTTCAAAATAAGTACTTTTTAATGTTTTTATTTGAAAAAACCAGTAATAGTTTTGGAGCTAGTCTTTATGATAAATCTTTTTAATATACTAAGAGTAATGTTTAGATTTTGGCTTTTAAAAGTGTACATAGAAGAGTAACAATTTATTCATTATTTTATGTAATAAGAAATTAAAATATTTAAGCTACATATGCATGACATAAAATTTCTTCACAGTAAATCTTATCATCAGTTCATCAATCAGCAAGATAAGTTGAGAAACTAGCACTAGAAAGAAAGAGTGATGTTTCAGACCCAAAATTTTCTACGGTCTAATTATTCCCAAAATTTCAAGTAGTTGTGAAATGTCCAAGATGAGATTTCTAAGAAGGACATGAGGCAAATACTTTATATGCTTGCAGTAATTGTTTTTGATAATTGCTGAAGTTCGTTCCACTCTTGCAATGTCTCTTTTATGATAGATTTAATAAACTACTACTAGAAGTAAGAAGAAGCAGCTGAAGCTTTTAAATACCTGAATCAATGATTCAAGAAAAATCTGTCCAAAAGTAGAAAAGACAGAAGAAATGAGATATAATACAAGTATTAGACCACAAAGTCAGCCTCAACACAAGACATGGATTTTATCCATTACCTAATTTACTGATCATCAGAAGGCATGGCAATAGCAAAGCACATGCTCATGCATGCTTCCTTTTGTGAGATCTGATATTATTAGTGTGGTTATCTAAATGTCTTTATTCCATGTTAACACATGTTCTGGCTTGGATTTAATATTCAAGGTTCTAAGCAAAGCATGCATAATATTGTCAGCACAGAGAGAGCCATTTGGCTATGGAACCTCTCCAAATTATACTCCATTAATTACACAGCTTAGATGTCAATCTCCATTTGTCCATGACCCCATATTTCCACCAGTTTCAGGTTTATTTTCAATAAGTCGCCCAGACAGACCAGACACATCCTGCCTACAGTGCCAATCTAAGACTGGCAGAAGATCAAATTGTCAGATTATTTTCATGCAAATTACATATTTTACCCAGGAGGAAATTTACTAGTGCTAACACAGGTGTTAGCAAAACAAAGAGCAAGCCCCTCTCCTTTGGAGCAGTCTAAGAGTGTCAGCACAGCTTCCTGAACTCTTTTCTCTCCCAAATTAGGATGAATTCTGTTTCAGATTTAACTTGCAAATTTTGTGCAGTGTATAGAGCAAAATTTTTACTTGGAATACCTCCAAAATTCATATCCTATTAATCCCCCAGTTTATATAACATTCCTCCATAGATCTATTAATTCCAGATTTATTTACAATAAGCAACCTAGACAGACCAAGTAGCTCTTCATGAAAGATAAGCTAGAAGACTGTTACCTTCCTCACAGTAGATATTAGTGTGTTTAGCATTATGTCTGTAGCTTGTGTGTTTAAAATGGTATTTTCTTTCCAGGGTAGCACAAGTAAAGGAAACTTATGGGCAACAGATCTACTGCAGACTTTTTCTTCCATAAGCAAATACTGCAATAAAACATTTTGCAGGTTTTATGGGGGGATTTAATTTTTGAATATAGATTCACCAAGAATAATATATAATAAAGAGCATTGGACTAAGCATTATGACATTAACTATACCCATATTTTAACCAATTAATCTGCAAGATTCTTTTAGAAAATTCTGAAAGGAATATGATTTTAGAAGTAGGTGAAAATATTTGATTTGTATGAATTGGATAAATGGACAAGTGCTCTTTTCTTTTAGGTTAACTAGTATTCCTGATGAGTGACTGATACATCCCTACAATAGAAAATGAGCCCAGACAACATATTTTGTCATTTGGAAGTAAAGTGGTCTATCCATGAACGTGGACCAATGCTCAGATTGGGGAGCTTATTATGAAAATGATGTTTGGGTTCTGGCAAGATTTGTCCACTAATTAATAATTTATTCATTTTCTTTCTTTCAATTGTATCTTTACAGTACTGTTAATCCTGACTCTTGGAATAGCCCCGTGATGATGACCCTTACCAAAAGCAGATCCTTCACTTCGTCCTATGCTGTTTCTGCAGCTAACCATGTAAAGGCTAAAAAACAAAATCGCCCAGGCAAGTAACCCATTGGGAAATAGGCTCCTCCTCTGAAAATGCAGTCAGGGAGTAACCAACCCTAAATGTGGAAATATTCAGAGGGTGCCCTACACTCAGATGTCTTTGATGTGATTATTTAAATGAAAAAGCTCTGGGCTGAGGATGTAGCTGGGTGGTAGAGCCCTTACCTAGCATGCATAAGACCAGGGATCCATTACCACTACTGCACCTCTCCAGCCCCCCCCCCCAAAGAAGGAAAGGTAACAACCAAGCAAAGCCAAAAAAAGCTTAAATAACCAAAAATTAACTAGTTACTTAAATATCTACTTTATGTGATGACAGAGATCTCTAGAAGTTGTTGTACCGGATTTTGTATCTTGAAATTACTGGGTGAATAAGAAGTAAGTATCACAGTTCTTCACAATCTCTCAGAGGATCATCTTATAAATTTCAGTTTTATTTTTAGACTTTAATAAAAATCATTTTTCAGGAGTATGGTATTTATATGAGTTTGAGGAAATGCTTCATTTACTATACATGAGCTATGATAAGGAATTTGGATATCAAAATTAGGAATGATAAAGTTTAGGTAGGAAAGTAAAAGGATCTACAGAAAGATTACCTTATTTCATCACAGTTTGTGTAGACTCAAAACTGGGATACAGTTTTTGTCAGATTCAATCCGAATTGCTCTGCTCCTAAAATCTCAGTGGAGAGCCTGAAGTGTTCACACTGACCTCATCCTTACTAGAAGTAGAATATTAACTCCAAGTTTTTACTTCTCATACTGTAGAAAACTATCCTGAGGTTTTCAGTTACTTTCTGCTCAGTTTCTGAAACTTCTGTCTTGAGCAGCATAAAAATGCATCAGATGGCTCAAGAGGAACTGCCCCTTCTCGCTGAGATGTTTGACTTGTCAGTTCTGGCTGAGATGGCAGCCCCAAACTCCAATTTCTTTGTCATCACTCTCCTGACATTGCTAAAAGCTCTGCTGGCATGCCGCTCTAATAGCTGCCCTCCTCTGCCTGGATTCCCAAGCTCCTGCTCCCTGCCAATAGCCAGTAAATACTGCTCCCAGGGGAGAATGGGTTGCAGCATGTTGGCCCACGCTCAGAGGTGCTCTTCTCTGGGAACCTAGTCCTTCAAAACTCTGCCTTCAGAGTTCTTTCTTTCTTTTTTTACCCTCAGCTTGTCTATTCTCAAAGAGGCATGAGTCTACTCCAAATGACTGCATTTTCACCAAAAGCAGAAGTTCCTAAAACAACAATGTTTATATGAGAAACCTGTGTGGGTTGCTTACCTTTCACTAATATTCTAGAGACCACCTTGCAATATGAACTTTATATTTTAAAAGGCACAGTTTCAGGAAACATTACTGTTGTTATGTCTAGATAAAAACATTTAGTACTTTTTCCTTTGATTACTTATTTTATACTAGGTAACTATTCCTTGATATCATTGTCTAACATACCTAAGTGGCTATATTTGTTTATTGTAGGAAGGCACTTCCTTCCAAAAGGTACAGTTTTACTGGAATTCCATTACAGAAAGAAACCATTAAAGGTAATCTGGTTTTGCAACAATAATCTGGTCCTCTCTGCTTTGGAGATGTTCATTAAACTTTATAACTCAGAAGTCTTTAATGACTTGAGAAATACAATTGAGCTTTTACTGGGACCCTGCAATGTAGGATAATATAGGCAAATACTTAACTGAGATTGCCTAGAGAGCAAACACAGATTACCTTGGTAATGAGGAGATTCACTTGGGAGTCCAGGAAAGCAGAAGAACTGAATTTGAGAATTCCATATTAACAAGACATGCTTATAGGGACATTAAAGTGGCCCTATTTCTGTAGGGCCCCCTTTTCCCCTATAAAAATATGAATAATTACCAATTCAGAACTGTGAGATTTTAAGATATGAGATTCGAACATGGGATATACAACCATCATCCCTACATGCACAGGGAACCTCATGAGTTGCAGTTAAGAAATGCAACAACAACAAAAAACCTTTCTAGAAATCTAGTATGTACTGATTCCCCAAAATGAATGTAATTATTATGTAACACAAACATATACCAATAAATAAAAATATCTTTTCACTAAAGATGCTGATGATGAATATATTCTACAATGAAAAATGATAGCAGAAAGTCTGAGATCTAATAAAAATTGAAATAAATTTGAAAAACATGGGTCAATCCAAGTGAACCTTGCATGCATAAATATTATTTTTAGACTTGTGGGTAGTTTTATTGTGGTTGTTGTTGCTGTTATTGAGTTTTGAACTCTTTTTCTTCCTGGTTCTGTGGATTAAAGCCCGAGGTACTCTACTATTGAATTACATCCACAGCCCTTTTGTTTCTTTATCTTGAGATATGATTTCACTCAGTTGCCCAAGCTGGCCTCAAACTTGGAATTTTCTTGCTTCAGCTTCCTGAGTATCTGGGATTACAGGCATGATCTGTCATGCCTGGGTTTGTTTAGTTTTTGAAAGGTTTCCCTGTTTTAAAAGACAGAATCAGAATATAGGACAGTAACATGTAACTTAATGGATAAAATATGAGTTTCAATATTCTATTCTTTTACATAACAAAGGGAGGAATCAGATGGGGAAACTGAGGTACAGAAAGCTTAAGTTACTTGCACAGGGCCACATAATTGTTCAGTTTTTCTTTTAGCCTGCACTAGAAAAAAAATTAAGGGCAGTAAACTGACATATTTTATAATTAGAATTTTGTGGTTCCGTCCTTGGGTGAATACAAGATAATGGAAGGACTTGGGTTGTTTTTTCTTCCTCTCTTTCTCTCTCTGTTTGAGCAATTAGATATTAAAATAAAACTATGAGACAATAAAATGAAAACTATTAGATAGCTCAACATAATAAAGTCAAGAAACATAATCATGATTAGGGCAGACACTGAAAATAACTGAGCAAATGATGGAACAGCCTTATATTCTCGTTCTCCTACTCCCCAAGCGGTATGACTGCATTTAAAATAAAGGGCAAAGCATACAAGGAAAAGAATGCCTACATAAGATGCCCCAAACACTGGCCCTGGGAACTAAACCACAGGCCCAGCAAGAGCTCCTTCATGTTGCCATCAAGTGCACCAATATGTTCGTAGTGGTTATCTTTAAAGGGGATTTTGCCTTGTGGTATCTTCACACTGCTGTCACCGAAGAGCTAAATGTTTATAAAACAACTTATGTCGCAAGCATGCTGAATTCAATGAAACACATCTCTGAAAGTCTGCACAGAGGCAGAGAAACATCCATCTAGAATCAGGGAGTTGAAATTAGATTTCAGGGCTCCTTGGTTGGATGGGTCCTTCCATTTCAACACTCCCGTTTCCCTGCACTGATGGTACTCGGTCAAAGGAAGTAAGTAGCACCATATTTGATGCAGCTGACTATGCCACAACCCGCTATTCAAAACACTGTGTGGAATGAGGCTGGGAAAGCCCCCAATGTGGCAGAGTACAAGCCAGTGGAGTCCAGTGGGGTGTGAAGAGTCTGAGGAGGAAGAAAGAGCTGTAGACAATGAGACGGGGAGAAAGCAAGCTCTGAGCCCAGAGCAGGCAAACAGAGATAAATGACCTGTTTCAGAGGGGACTAATGAATCTGTTCTTTGCACAGATCAAGTAAACAATGTGTCCTCCTGCTCAATCAATCAGCTTTAGTTTTAAATAGCTGAAATGCAAGCAATTATTATGCAGTTACTAATGTAAAATAAATGGATGAAATCACATAGGAGTGCTCTGATTAAAGCATAAAAACAGGGGATTTAAATATAATTTGCATTTTCAATCTTGTTGCTGCAGTGTGAGTCACTGACAACGGGAAGCTACCACTATGTCATCCTCCTTTGCAAATTCCTCTAATTCATAGTGAGTTTACAGTTGTCCTTTGCCTGGATTCTTCTAAGCTTGAGCTGCCTGCTACACTGAATATAAACATCTCTATACCTGTAAGCTGGACTGAGACTTTCCTACAGAAATTTGAAAGGAGAGAAAGTTTAACTTATGGTTCTGTAACTTTGTTTAGCTTTTGTTTGTTTTTTTGGTATTTGCTTTACCTTAGCTACCTTTTCTGTTTTGGAAAAATGTTAGGGCTTATTGTTTTCTTGTGCACATAGAAAAGGGATATGTATTTATCAGACAAGCTGATTTTTTTCTTGTCCAATTAAAATGAAACAGTTTTATAGAACAAAACAGATGGATTCATTTAAAGAGTTTCCTTACTGTACTATTTATCTTCTCCCTTTGATTACCCCAAATTCCTTGCTTCTTGACACACATTTTCTTATGTTCTCAGGACTGGAGTAGTACAGCCTCAATTTATCAAAGGAGTTGGTATTTTAGACTTTAAATTGCATTTTTTGGTATTTTTTAAATTGACAGCATTTCACATTACAATAGGGTGAGTTATTTGAAGCTTTATGTTTCATGAGCTTTGTGTTTTTCCTGGAGTATCTTAAAATTACTCAAATATCAAATGAAGACAAATATATTCAAGAGAATGCGTGTTCATTTGATCTTTCACTCTTTTCTCTGTGTAAATGTGTCAGTGAGCAATGTAAAATTGGATGCAACTTTGCAAAGTCTCAATAGTCATTCCTCTAGCTGTATAGTGATTACACTTGCAGTATCTTATAAAATCTGTTTTTAAAGACTTGCTAAAACAGGATTTTTTCCCTTGGAAGAATCCCCTTCCTAAGTTACTCCTTTCTAGAAAGAAGGAATATTTGGTGATAATAAGTTGATCCTCCCTAATTTGAAAATTAAAATCTGAGCATTTGCGATGCCAAATTTTAAGGTTAGAGATGTTCAACTGATAAAGTCTATAAAAATATGTCAAAATCCCAAAAACCTCTGGAATCTGAAATACATCTGGTCCCAAACATTTTGGATAAAGGTTACCCAGCCTGTGTCTGCTTTTATCTCTCCATTATTTTGAAGAGTACTATATGGAAATATGTATCCACTTCCAGTGGCATTCTTTTTCCTTTGTGTATTTTTAACTTTAAATTTTATGCCATTATCTCCTCTAAAAAAATTGCTGCTTCTCATGGTTGCTGCCAGGACCTATGTTTGTTAAAAGAGTTCAAAATCTGTAGACTGAAGTACTATAAAAGCTAAGTGCTTTTTCCTTGTTACAGGTTTATTTAAGATTTCATCCCAGGAGTCTTAAAGTCTGCTTATTGGTTTAAATTTAGTTAATCCCTGAATTCCAAGAACCTTAAGGTTTGTGTGGATTTTAAAATGTGTATTTAAGAGTGAATTGCATGTCTCTGAGGCTATCAGCTGGCAGCTACTAAAAATTAGCAATGAAAACAATCTCTGTTCTCATAAATTACTTTCAGAAAATACATTGTGTCAAGGGAGAAATGGAGAAATGTTCCCATGGGTTTTGAAATATATTGTAGTTCTATTTTAAAAAATAGTTAAAAACTGTCCTCAAACTCATAATTTTGCCATCAGAGTAATTAAGGAGTTGCCTAAAGCAATGCCTACCAGGAGTTTCACAATTTAGACAGAGCAATTAAAACTTACCTACGGAACTCCATCTAGCTTTGCCCTCTCTTTCCTGTGTGCTAAGCTATAGCCACAGATCCTCTGACCACCCAGGGTAAGATCTCTTTCTAGAATATGCTTTCCCCAGTCTAGATGGCTTTCCTTTCATCAGTCTGTTTAAATTTTAGCCTTCAGGGAGTCCTTCCTAGACTATCTGTATATAAAGCACTCTGTCCTCTACTTTTTGCATTCTTTTTTTTTCCACATCACTGGAAATTGTATGCCTTTTCCTTCTTTTATTATTGATTTTTATTTTGCCTTTTCTGTCTCTGCCAAAGGAATGAGAGCTCTATTTTCCCATTACCAACTGCATCCCTGCAGCAGCACACACAATAAATATTTGTTAGATGAATAAATCACTGTGATTCTTACTCATGGAATACCTTGGTAACTTTCTATCACAGGATTTAGCTCCTTCGTGGTGTACAACTCTTATAAGGTCATATCCAGTGTCTGCCTTCCCAAACTGTTCTAAATTGGACCAGGCATGTCCACCCTTTTTTACATCAAAGCATCCATAGATGTATAAGCATATTTGTGAGTACATGACAGTGTCGTATAGCCAGGAGAACTGGGAAGGAATTTAGAGCTTGGTAAAAATATAACTTCTTCATTCTACAAATTTATAATGAGATAATCCAATCATAAAATGTTAGAGATAGCATTAAAATTTGAGTTTATTCTGCAGCTTTCAAATGAAATAGTCTTCTTTTTTTTTTTTTCTTTTAATTTACAACCACAAATTTCTTCACAGCACACTTGTATTTCACTTGCCTCACACATCGATGCTTGGGTTGGGAAACTCTGAGCTTAAAATTTAGGGAACTTAATTTTCTTCTGGCTCAGGAAACTAAGTAACGTGAAGATTCGTCAGCATCTTTGGTAAAGTGGCTCAATCTTTTTGTCAAACTAGAAATCAAAATAAAAACCATCAGATGTAATAACGAGCAATACAAATGCTGCCTAATAGAGCGTGGCTTTTTCTTCTGCCTTGGGCAACCTTGAGAGAAGTGTGAGCTACAATATTACATTTTATGCTAAGAATAAATGGGGTTATTCCATATTCTCCTTCGTACTAGTCCTGTGGCCCTGGCAAGGTTTCTTGATGTCTTTGAGTCTAAATAGTTTCATTTGTTAAGTAAAAAGGCAGGGAGTTGATCTGTTGATTAAGAATCAACAAAAGAAATATTAAGCAAAAGACTTGGAAAGCAGCTGCTATCCATACTTAAGCAAAAGGAGAATGAGATTTTCATCTTTTGAAACCAAACAAAAGAAATAACAGCACCAATAAGACATATGAAAAGAAAAGTACAAAAGGCCTTCAGCAAGTTTAATACTTCTTTCAGTGGAGCAGAAAACCTTTTGGCTGTGACAAATCGAACTTTTGAGGGAACTGTTCCTGAGAAGCAACCTCCCTGTAAGGCAGCTGCCTGTTACCCGCCCACATCGTTCTGTGATGTGTAATCCATAGCTGTAAATTTCCCAAGTGGTGAGATATAGAGAATGACTTTGGGTAGACTCATTTTATTTGCTCTGGAATAAGATGTTCAACCCTAAATCATGAAAATCAATAAGCAGCTAGTCGTTTAGAAGTTAGGCAACTGTTTTTCTGTTTTTGTTTTTCTAGTTATAGGCACAGGCTGCCTTCTCTAGGTTCAGGAGAGTAACTTCAAAAGATATCATCCTTGCATCTAATGCTAATGCTTTAAAACTGAAGGACTGTCTATACAATTTAGAGTAAGCATGGCCAGTCTGGTACAAATACCCACCTTTGAAATTAAAATTTTGTCTTCAGGTATAAAATGGATTGTGTTACATTTTTTAATGTTTTCTTCAAAATTTATTTTGATTTTACAGTGCTATTGTACATACAAAGGTGTAGTTTCACCAAAAATGTAAATCACTGCTAAGGTTAATTGCCTCTCAAAAAATTATCTGCTTTATCTGCCTGTTTGAAGTGTTGGATGCTTGCCACGTTGTGTTCTAGATACCACTTAATGTTGAAAATGACAGAAAATCTTGTCCCTGCTACAAACTCCTCAGCCTAAGAGAGGGCAGGCACATGACAAAATTTCAACTGTTATTTTCAAGGCGAAAGTACAAGAAACAAAAACGGGAGGAGAAAATAATATCCTTCTCTCCTGAAGGTACTCCAGGACACCAAGTCTTCAGCGGCACTGCCAACATGGTTCCCGATTTTTCATGATGATTCATTACTTGAATTTCATGCTTCAGAGACACCCCAACCACACATCCTGCCGCCAGATGGTGGCATGTCGGGGAGACCAGCACGGTGGCCTCACTGTCCATAAAGTTGTTTCTGAATTTACTGGAGTAGAGCTGAAGTGTAAGGGGTTGCATGTTCACATGTTCAAAGACATTTTAGTGACTTCATAACTCTCTTTCCCAGGTGCCCTTGCTAAAATTTCCCCTCTTCAATCACCCTGCTCCTCCCCCCTCCACGGGACTCCTGCCAGCAGCCCTGTCAGCAAAATTTCTGCAGTGCAGTTTCCAGAATCTACCGAGACAACTGCCAAACATGGTCCAAGTTCTCACAGGACTTTAACCTACACTCAAAGTGCCCCTGACCTGTCCCCTCAGATCCTGGATCCACCTGTTGTATGTAGCAGGTAAGGAGTTGCATTGTTAACTGGAGTTTAATAATAACGATGTTACTAATTTTCCCCATAGGAATAACCAATACCCATCCACATAGCTTGGTACATGTTTGCCAAAGTAGTTAAGAAAAAAGCATAGGATAATATGATTTGTATCGAACAGGCTCTAATAGCAAGTGGATTTTTCAGAGAGATCAAATTCCTTACAGTCCATAATGCTAATCTTTAGAGATGATACAAAATCAATAGTTGTTTATTTTATCCCTTTGCTGATATAGAATATATAGCATATATACTTTAAAAATTATATCAAGTATTCTGATATGACCCTTTATTAGAATGTTTTTACTTGTTCTCCAGGGAGTATTTTAAACTGATTTGAAAAATATTCAGCTGAAGTTTGTATTTCCTATTTTTTTTAATTTTAAAGAAAATGATAAAGAAAAAAGAACAATAGCAACATACCGGCATCACAGACATAAACAAAACAAAGTAAGAACATTAAAAATGATAGAGGGTTTCAAAACAAAATGATAGGAATTAACAGTGGTTCTTATATTACATATTGTTGTCTTCAACAAAGTTGCTCAGATTACCAGATGTAAGAATGGAAGATTGATCAAACCAGTAAAGAGAATAAGAAAATAATAATTTACACAAAAAAACATTAGCGACAATACAGAGTTTTATTAGACAAGACGATAGGAATTCACCAGTGGTTGTTACCTTGCATATTGTTGTCTTCAAATCAGTTGCTCAGATTATCAGATATAAACATGTATTTTCCATTTTAACACTTTGAAAATGTACAAATAATAGCAGCACACTATTGCTTGACTCAAATAGTTTTCTGAATACATTTCAGTGTTGTGTGTGCTAGTCTATCACATTAAAAACAGAATTACAAAATGTTAACTACAGAGGATAAGAAAAGAGCTTAACATGGCTGAAATAATTATTTTGCCAATGTTACCGTAATAAAAAAGAAATATTTCCTCTTGCTGATTAATGTACTTTATTGTTCTTCAATAATAGCTTCATCTTAGATAACTGATCTTGAAGCAGTAAATGTTTTTTGAGTATAAAATAGTTGAGTGTTTTGAGTATAATCATGAGTGTGCCTTCAAAAGAATGTTTCTTTTCTAAGGTCAATGAGGACTACTACTTGAATACATTAGTTACATATTGTTTGTCTAATATCAAATATTGGTTTATAGACCTAAATTTTATTATTATATTCAGTGCTAAGAACTAGCAACTGATATTAAGCTTCACAAATTTCACTTTCTTATACTTAGTTTGTGAACTTTTCGTTAGCTTTCCCACACTGTCACAAAACACCTGAGACAGGCCAACTTGAAGGAAGAAGGGTTTGTTTTTGCTCTTGATGATGGACACTTCAGTTCATGATTGCTGGGCCTAATTGTTTTTGTGATGAGGCAGCATATCATGGTGGGTGTTGTGAAGTAAACTGTTCACCTTATGGTGGCTGTAAGAAGGGAGAGAGAGAGAGGTGGGAGGGGACCCGCTGGGGTCAGGGCCTCAATGTCCCCTACCAGGGCACATCCCCAGTGACCTAACTTCTTCCCAGGAGGCCTCACCTTTAATGGTTCCACCACCTCCTGACAGCGACTCAACAGGCCACCAAGGCTTTAACCTACAGGCCTCTGGGGCAGCACTCCAGATCCACATTATGCGACACTCTTTTTAAAAGTCATTTACTTTATAGTCTTCACTGCTACTTTTCTCTTTACAAATATTTTTAAATGGACAATCAATTTTCTTCCTTTGGCCAGGGTCAGAATAAAAACTTACCCTGCCATCCAAAAATTGTCTGCTCTCTGTATGTCAGGAGTGTGTGTGTGTGTGTGTGTGTGTGTGTGTGTGTGCGCACACGCGCGCACGCATGTTTGTGTGTGTATGCATGTGTTTATTGCTGGAGATTGAGCCCAAGGGCCTCAATTGTGCTAGGCAAACACCCTACCATTGAACTATATCTCTGGTCCTTTTTGCTTTTATTTTTTAAAATAAACCAATTTTCTATGGCCAATTAATCCCTCTACCAAAATGCACCTTACAAAGTAAAATGTTTGAGACACATTTTAGTGATTCACAACATGTATTACTTTATTAAAAGTCCTAAGAAGTCTTGCTAAAACATCACCCCTTGATTTTTATTTCTTCTAGTGTTTGTTAAATTTATATGACCACACACCCACTTTCTTTAGATTAACACTCTGTAATTCCTCTTAGATCGAGTGTGAGGCAGGACACAGAAAGGAAGCCTTGTTTTTCAGTGTACACCCTAAGATAAGACATGAAGCCTGGAGTTTCAAGGACATCTGCTTCCAGGTTTCCTAGGGAGCTCAACCCCTCTACATTCTGAATTTGTGGGGAATAAGCTGCCTAAGGAAAGGAGAGAGATGTTCAGAAAAGACCTACCACTCACATAGCTTTTCTCAACATATTCATGTGTACATGCATGCATGCGTGCATGTATATGCGTGTGTGTATGTGTGTGTGTGTTCTTAGGAGGAAGAATGTAATGAGATTTTTATAAAAGAGGTTTCAGAGAAAAACAAGGGGATTTCACTGTCTACTTTTTCAGTAATGTTTATAAACCCAGTAGTGTGTGTTTTATTTGTTTGGGCTTTATAAATCTATAATTCAAACCAGGTTTTATTATTCCCTTCAAGGCAGCCACCCATGCAGGCACAGAGAGCTCCAGAAACACAGGACTAATTATTGTGGTTTCCCCTGCTGAACTCGGAGGGATTGGCATTGAATATCCGCCTCTTGGCTGCTGTAATGTCTGTGCAACAAGCATTTTTTTTTTTTTTTGGAACAGGAGTTGGTAGTTTTGAGCCACTAATTTAAATACTGCTTTTAGGGATTATCTTACAATGAAAAATCTTCAAACTTATAAACTCTACTTCTCTCAGTTGCATGTACTTTCTTTTTTTCGTCTGTTATTTTCTTTTGGTTCGCTAAGGAAAAACGATAGGATTTTATCACTAGAAATAATTTATGTGTGATGCTTTTCTACTTACAGTCAAAGGTGGAAATTTACTTAGCATGAACATCTTTAGCTGAAAAATGCTTTTCTCTGCTGCACACACAAGCACAATTAAGGACAAAAATTGAACCACTTAAGGTACTAAACAATAAAATAGCACTCATTTCTTCTCTTTTGAGAGTGGGTAATTTGTAGTTAAATAACAAACAGATGAAAAATCTTCTGAGACCCTTTGTCATATTAGGCAGGGAAAAAAAAAACAGCAACAAAATGCAGAATTAAATTCTAATCATGATATGTCTAAACAAGATAAAAGAGAGAGGCAATAATTTGCAACTTTGCTAAGCCATTGTGGGGTTACTTTTTAACTTTTAAAACAGTCAAGATTTGGAGAAAAATATCTTTCATCCTCCACCAACCCTCTGTTATGGGACACTGTTCACCTTTAAGAACCTTCAGTTTTTGTAGTTATTCTCTGTACCTTGTTGGCCTTTTTTTTTGTCAACCAGCATTGTATCCAGTCAATCATACATTCACTCATCACCAAAATGTCCCTGTCTTTTGTTCATTCCCTTAGGGCCTTAACAAGTGACTGATCAATCTGTAAAAAAGAACTCATTTTTAATTTTTGGGAAAAAAATAATACTCTATTATTTTGTTTCACCATAGGCTGTCTTTTCTTAAAAATATGTTAGGATATAAAAATGGCTTAAAGAAATAAATCTGAGAATGAGACTTCTAAGCAAGCACACAGGTATTCCATAAGGAAAGATATTTTTGACCAAATATGTATCAGTACTTCCAAGATTACTACTATTCATACATGGAGCCTGTCCCAGTATGCTGCAGCTAAGGTGACACTTACACCTTGACTATGATCTAAAGTAACAAGATTTTACCAGCAATTTCGCTTCTGTAAGCTCAAGACTATGGAAGATACAAAGGAGAGTGATACGAAGTTTCTAATCCATTAAATTGATCATTCTCTTAGTGATCTCTTAGGACCATCCTCATACAAAACAAAGTTAGTCTTTCCATGAGACAGATAAGTAGATTACAAAAGTATTTTAGTAGTACACACACCCGCGCACACACACACACACACACACACACTGGTCACTTTTGAGAATGTGTATTGAATTTCAAAAATGATACACACTTATAAAATGAGACAAAAACACAGAGTTACATTTTTGGACCCTATTAAAACTACAAGAAACAGGTCTTCTAAGAGATCTTTTAGGAAGCTCTTAAATCCTGTCATGGGATATTTAGAGTGTAGTTCAGTTTTTAAGTAACTGACCTAGATGGTTGAAGTTGAAACTGACACATTTTCAAATTAAAATTGTTTATTCTGTACAGAAAAAGCTAAACACAAACGAATCTGTTGTATGTGATAACACAAGAGTTAAAAAAACAAATTAATGACTTAGCTTTATTAAGGTTTTTGGTTTCTCCTTCCATATCTGGAATATCAAGTTATGAGCAGCAGTCTCATACCATAACAGCAGTCTTTGTCTTTTTGTACCTACTGACTGGACCTTTCTTTACTGTTATGTGAACACTTTCTAAATTAGTTTGGATGCATAATTCTTTGGACACTTTTAAACAAACTACAATATATGTCTAAGAGTTTCTGTCCATGCAAGGTAGTAACTATAAACTTGTTTTTAAGTAAATAAAAAACTTGTTTTACTTAAAAAAAAGGTATTTTATTATGGTGGCCTATCTTAATGTATCTTAAGATGGTATGTGCCGAGGAATTTTTGAAAAGAGAAGGTTATCCTTATGGCTTTTCTGATATTCCTCAGCTGTGGCAGACCATATTCCCAAGGGACTCCTGCGGACGCGCCCCTGGAGAAAAGTGGCGAGGCCACTCGGACATCTAGCCGAACAGGTAATGAATGAGTCGTGTTGAATTCCTGGTGTTCAAAGTGGAAGTTTTTTCACTTCATTTTGTTTTTCCTGATCTAGAAGGTAATGGTGCATTTCCTGATTTGGAGAAATTTGTAGCATTTAAAAGATAAGAAAAAATAACTAAAAATCATCCCTAACCCTACTGTCTAGATTTAATCACAGTACAATTTTGGTGTAAATGTGTCCAAAATGTTTCTGTACATCTGTTTAGAAGTGTGTCCATTTTCTAAAACTGAAAAGCTCTTTTTATAGTATGTAGAGCTAATAGAAATACTGCTATATCTTGCTACTTTGTGTACCAGAGGGTGATGCATTTTGCTGTGATTACTAGAACTTGCCACCCTGAGTAGTGACCCTGTATAGAGAACCCTTCCCTGTCCTCCTCATGACCCAGGAAATTTATGTTTGTGATCCCATGAAACGTTATTAGAATTCTAACAGGTTAATTCCAATCTACCACTTCCAGTGCAACCTGTGGCCAGAATAAAGGCACTAAAGCATATTTGTAGTTATGGGGAGCCAAGGGGTCCTAAGTCCAATCATGATGATCATTATCCCAAACAAAGGCCTCCACCCAAGGCTGGTGCTTCAGCTCTGATAAGTAATCTTTGAAGCCCCAGGAAGTCATCGCCTCTATTTCAAAGGGTCCATCCCAGCTGACAGCATGGAGCACTGGGTCATACATCCCACCTCACTTGAGAGAGCAACAGGGGTCCGGGAAACGCACATGCCATCTCCAAAGATTACCATTAGTACCTTAGCTAGACCAATATGCATTGCTGAAAGCCAATTGAAGGGATACGGAAAGGGTCCTAGCCAGCTCTGTATATATCAGTACATGGAAACAGGGTCAGGCTCAGCCAAAATGGAGACAATTGCTCCTCTTTCAAGGAGAGTTGCCTAGGGGGTCCTCCACAACCCTGCATGTATCCCTGTGAACCTGTCCCAGTTTTCCTTTGAGACAGCAGGATGGAGATGTTCAGACAATGGGCAGTGCAGACTGGCTCACATTCTGATGCTGCAGCCTGCTTACCTCTAGTCTTCATCGCCCTCCACTTTAGTTCTTTACCTGGAGAATATTAGAACGAGCAGTGCCTCAGTTCACAAACGTCTCTGTTCACGGACAATTCAATTCACAAACAGAAGCATTTAGTAAAATTTTGCTTCCCTTGGTGAGCTCTGCATCAGGTGATGAACACGAAGATGCACTGTTGTGGAATGAATTAAGTTCATGAACTGAGGGGCCAGTGTAGTGATAGTACCTACCACTGAATTATTTAAGCATGTAAACAATTTATTGCTTGGTATGGGAGATTTTATATATATATATATATATATATATATATATATATATATGCTAGTGTTTGCTGCTATTATTGTAACAATTACTTTATTTTCATTGACACAGACATAGAGACTTGCTTTTTTTAAGCTGAATGTACATAAGTAGAAAAAAAGCACCTATCGTACAATTTAGGGCAATAGAGGTACTTAATTATGAACCATATACATCAGCGTTTCTTGCTAAACACCCAGTAAATATTGACTGAGATACTTTTCTATGGCATATACAAAGGAAAAGGGTCATAAGCAAGGAAAAATTAAAAGGAGAATTCTCTGTGGCCGTCATCCGATAGTGTATCATTATGAATAATGAATATTTTGCTCTGTGTTCCTGATCTTTATTCTACTGGGTCAATTAGGATGAGGGGAATATTTCAGGGTCTTTATGATCCCGAGTTGCCTTCTTCATTTTTCTACAGATTCTGAAAGTGACATTTGTTTCATTTTAATACTGTACTTAATTTTAATAAGTACAAGTAATTGCATGAGAATGATGGAAGAAAGATGAGTCCTTGGAAAAATTCTACAAAATATTTCTGATGGAACAGGTTTCATAACAGAAGCCATTACCTAAAAAAGAGTATATATATCTCCAAGTATGTGTCAGTATATATGTATATGTTTATATCATATTTATCCTACCAACAAAAGCAATCTTGACAAAAGAGATCAAAATGAGAGGATATACACTTCCTGTCTTTAAGATTTAAGTTACAGTAATCAAGAAAGTGTGGAATTGGCCTAAGGCTCAGCAAGTAGATCAAATAAAATAGAGTAGAAATCACCAAACTATACTCACACTGACTCAAACATTTTATTTTCAGCAAAGATATTAAAGTAATCCAGTGAGGCTTAAAAAAAAATGAACTTTGCCCCTACCTCACACCATGCAAAATATTATTCTGAGATGGAGCATAGACCTTACTTGAAAGCCAAATTGATGCTTCTGGAAGAAAACAAGGATAAACTTTGTGATTTGGGATAAGACAGAGATTTTATAGGCTATGGAGGCTGGGGATATAGCTCAGTGCATAAGCGCCTGCCTGGCAGGCCTGAGGTCATGAGTTCAATTCCCGGTACCAAAAAAAAAATAAAAGAAAAAAAAAGAGTGAAATAGGCTACGGGAAGCAATAACCTTTAAAAAAAGAAAACTAGACTTTATCAAAATCTAGTGTCAAAATTTACTAGTAATGTGGCTTTAGACAATTTATTAGTCCTTCCTGTGCCTCAGTTTCCTATCTGCAAAGTGAACATAATAGTAATACAATAATACCTGCCTCAAAGGTTCATTGAGAGGCTTAACTATATCAGCAGTATAAGTAAAACACTGTAAGTGGCACCCCACCTGTAACAAGCATTCAGTAAACTTCACCCAGGTACTTTGTTCAGCTTTAAGGATCTTCTTGATGGCTTTGTGCTAGATGTGTGTTCTTTTGATACTTTGTATTTTCTGGTGGTATTTTAGTTAGCAGAGTTTACTGATCATTGAAATGGGAGACATGGAAAGGTTTCAGGGAGGAAGAAGTCACAGTCTCCTAAGAAACAAATTGGGTGCCGGGTACCTCTGTGTTCTTAAGCACATGCTGTGATAGCATGTTCTGTTACTTGTCCCTACATGTTTTGACACAATTTCTTCCGCACCACGTGGCCATTCTAGAATTAGTACATTAGTCAGCCACTTAGTAACTTAATGTATTAGTAGAGGAGTGAGGAAACAAATATAAAATCATCAAATTTTTTAGAAGTACCACTGATCTAAAAATTATTAGTGAGAAGTTATTAAATGTCACAAAATCCACAGATTAGAATCCCCACCTGTTTTCTTGGTTAAAGATGCATTGTTTTTCCCAGCTTATGATTCTGTGTCCCTGCTGAGTAACCATGAGAAGCAATATTTCTCCACATATAATAATTGATATGTTTTAGGGAAGTTTGCTTAGCTGAGATCCCTTTTCCCACTGCATGTCTCGTAATAAGGCGTTCTCTTCTCAATTGCAGATGACACTGCCCAAGTTACCTCTGATTATGAAACCAATAACAACAGTGACAGCAGCGACATCCTACAGAATGAAGACGAGGCTGAGTGTTCCAGAGAGTCATTGAGGAAAACATTGGCTTGTGGCACCTATGGTCCTGAAGCCATGATATTCCTGGTAGCCCCATATCCCTTACCTCACTTCTGCACTTGAGGAATTGCCTTTCATTTATTGCAGAGTTTAGTTTAGAAATAGACCTTGTATCATTGTGTTTGTACATGTATTTCACTTAGATCTTACATATATTGTGGCCCTACCCATATGGATCAGTACAATTTATTTTTCCTCCAAGCCTTGTACATCTCATCGTGGTTATATTATTTAGTGTTAAAATGGACGAGTATGTATCTTTATAAATGATAAAGTATGTATCTTTATAAATGATAAACATTTCTTAACCTGATCAAAAAGCATAAATATGCATAGGAAAATGATTGATGTCATACAATTCAATAAAATTTCTTAAAGAGAGGAAGATAGAGAAAGAAAAGTGTTTTAGGGCATTTGCTAATTTTTTTCTCCTTCAGCACTTTCTTGATTTAGAATGGGAGCCAATATTTATTTTCCTTGTTATACTAAAACAAGTTTGTGTTAGCATGGCTACCTGTTAAAAGATTCTTTACTTATTTTGTGTGTTTAAAGATATCCATGTACAAAGGATAGAAATACACATTTGAGTCAAGTTAATTTGGGGAAGGCAGCAAATATTAGAAAATAATTGACCATTACATGGTCACTAATTATTGCCATTATCATTTTTCTTTCACAGTATTTACCACTTTAAATCAGTTTTTCAGGTAGAAGAATGTTCAGTTATCTTCAATTATCTTATTTCTCTTTAATTGGTCATGGGTGTATCCTTAGGACTATCCCGATTTAGGACTGTCTTTGCATTTACTTAGTACATGTTTCTCAGTAAACATTGTGTCACATGAATTAAATTCAAGTCCCTGAAAAATGTGACAGCTCATTTGTCACATTTCATGCTGATTTGAAACATTAATACATAAATTTAATCCATTAATGTAGGCATGATTAAGTTTCTCTCTCCACTCAAGGATTTCTTTTGAGAATCCAATATAAACTAAAGATACTTATCCCAGAATCTATACATAAATATGGAACAGGATAAGTGTACATATAAGTTCAGAGTACTCTGAAGTCTTTGAATCTTTGTTAAAGAACCTCACAAGGCAGTTATGTTAATTTCTGGAGGAAACATCCACGTTTTTCTGGAGAATATGAGAACCAGGAATAGGCAGTCATATAAAAACATGAGATTCATAGTCTGAAACTCTGTAGGTGCCCCCTCCCTATGCTAGGGACAACCTCTTGTTCATCTTTTTTTTTCTTTAAGATTCATCCTGGAGTATTAACTCATTTATTTCATATAATTACAGTTATCAAAGCCTGAACTGTTTTGTTGGAAAACTGCATGTTGCTAAAATATTTTAATCTTCATTACAGGATAAACCAATTCTTGCTCCTGAACCTCTTGTCATGGATAATCTGGACTCAATTATGGAGCAGCTAAATACTTGGAATTTTCCCATTTTTGATTTGGTGGAAAATATAGGAAGAAAATGTGGCCGTATTCTTAGTCAGGTAAGAAATACCATATGACTTTAAATAAAGACAAACAAAACTTAGTCGCTGAAAGCTTTTTATATTCATGACCCCTGTGGATATGCACTGTATAAAGAAAAGGAATTTTAATACACAACATTCTGTAGATCCCATGGTGGTGGCTAATAAAGACAGAGGAACTTTGAGCAAATGGAATATCACTTTTTCTTATTACACAGGAAAAGTAGAAGGAAGATAGAGATAAACAAGCAAAATGAACAAATGAAGTAAAAGTCATAGAGTTAAGTAAAACAAAAGCTGATAGAAGCCCTCCTCCAAGTGCCCGTTTACAGATAATTATTTATTTTCTGTAGTTAGTTCAGTGATATTTTTAACTTATTTTCTGCAATTAGTTCAATTATTTTTAACTTCTGAATAGTGCATTGCTTAGACCTCATCAAAAACAACATATCATGCAGAAATGTGTTTCTCTCCCAGCACTGTGGGAAATACATCAGAAAGAGTTCTCTGTATTTGAAAAATCAGTAAGTCTTATTGTAGCATGACAAAGTGGAATTCCCTTAAAATAAGACTGTTATCAAGACTTCCCAAATAAAGAAATGTTTGGTTTGCTCAGAGAGGAAGAAAACATACAGAAATTAAGAATTTGCACATGCTTCATCGAAAAAATGAAACAAAACAGATGATGAATTTGCTGTATTATCAAATACCTATGAAGATATGAACAATTAATGTGAGTGGTACAATAATATATCAGCTTATTTCAAAGTATAAATGTGTATACAAATTTCAACAGCAGAGATGCTAAAGGTTACCAAACTTGGTAATGACTTTCTAGGAAGAGGCCTAGGGCAGTGCCACATAATCTAGTAGTGGTCCAGGAAGTTTTTTTTAATCTCTTCTTTTAGTGAAGATTATATTCCTTGACAGAGAAGAGTTTTCTAGACTCTCCAACCTTCACTGTAACTTTGGTACAGGTATTTTTAAAAGTCCCTTTTACAAAAAAAAAAGAAACTAAAATTTGAAAGAGAGGATCTATTTTTCTTTTAAAGTTGTGAAGTGAATATTAAGCCAATGATTCAAATGTAGATTTAAACATATCAGAACCTTGGGCTTTTAACCTCCAAATGCTTTTCAGAAACCCATAAAATACATATACTTACATACTTCATCTTTAAACTCTCCAAATGGGGATTCTGACCAAGTAGAAAAATGGTTATTACAGCAGCTAGCTTTATAGCATTAGTGACAGTGCACCAGGTGTGAGTGCAGGTATCCAGTTCCCCTTGAAATTTTCAGACATTGGAGGTTCCCGCTTGGTCAGCACTGCCCAAATAGTCCCTCCCCTCCATCTCCTTTCTCCCCTCCCTCTCGTCCCTCTCCTCCCTCTATGGGTTTGAATTCAGGGCCTCCTGGATGCCAGCCAAGGACTGTACCACAGAACTACACCCTCACCTGCCCAAAATGTTTCTTGAGTCTAACAAAACACCAGCATTGATTAGAAAGATTAGGGCTAGTCAAAAGTTAGATTTCAACAAAATTCATTGATCTATCTCTTGTATTTCGGTGTATAAGTAATACGTTACTACTTTTTCCTTATTAAGCACTATTTACTTTCCAAATTTGCAAAACATTGAACTTTGAGTAAATGCAGCTTCATTTGCCTTGCTAAGTAGAACTTTCTGAGTTTTCTCCTTTGATTGGAGTTCATAAGTATGAAAATCATAGAACTTTGATTATGAGATGCTGGGACAGCTGAAATGAATTAGCCTGGGCATTTCAGAAAAATCACCTTTTGGCAGAGACTACATAGAAAACGTCTCACTTCAAAAGACTTTTAAAGAGACATATGTGCAATGGAAATGAATCCTAGCCTTAATGTACCGCTTGCCTTTTGATGATGATTATGTTTATTTTGACAAATTTAAAAGGACATTCTTCAGATTTGAAATAGTGTTTACTCCTTTCAAGTGCCAATATTTATCCAGTTAATATTTTTTTTCTTTATGAGCTTGGAATTGCCATATGTAAAATGACATGTGGTTGATTTTCATAGCTTCTTGATGAAAATTCTCCTATTTTCTTACTTTTTTATTTGATTCACCTGTTGCTTTTTATTTATTTATTTTAAATAAGTGTGGCTAGAGGAGCGTGGCATAAATAAAATAAAATGTGTGGCTCACATTGTATTTTTTATTATTGAGTTTCTTGGTACAATTTAGATATACATAATGATCATATTCATCATAGGAAATTTGTGCCTGTACATGATATACCTTGATTCCTCTTTTTCTTCTGCAATCTATCACCTCCCTTCAGCCCCTCTTCCCTTCCTTACTTAAAATGCTCTGTTTCCATTTTATCCTTCTTTCCTTGTTTTTTTTTATTTTCCCTTCCTTACCCCCCATCCTCCTTAGCTCCCCTTTTTTTGATTAATTTTTTCATATTTTACCAGACCTATTATGCACTTTGGTCCTTATTTGCACTTTGAGTTTCTCATACCGTAGAAACAATGCAATATTTAAACATGTGTGACTGATTTGTTTCATTTAAGAGTATGGTCTCAAGATGCATCCATTTACCTAGAAATGTCTCAACTTCATCCTTCCTTATGGTTAATTAGTACTCCATTAATTATATAAATAATTATTCTGCATAATTATACTCCATAATTAGTACTTCAGTTGATAGGCATTTGGGTTGTTTCCAAGATTTAGCTATTACAAACTGTGCCGCTATAACATGGGTACACATATATCTTTGTGGTATGTTGTTTTCATTTCTTCTGGGGAAATACCCAGAAGAGGAATAGCTGGGTCAAATGGGAACTATATTCTTAGTTTTTTGAGAAATCGCCACACTGATTTCCACAGTGGTTGCACCAGTCTACACTCCCACCAACAGGGGAGAAGGGTTTCTTTTTCCCCACAGTCCTTCCAGCATTGATTATTGGTTGATTTCTTGATAGTAGCCATTTTTCTGATGTAAGATGAAATCTCAATGTTGTTTTAGTTTGCATCTTTTGAATGACCAGTGATGTTGAACATTATTTCATGTATTTACCTGCCATTTGTGTTTCTTCTTTTGAGAAGTGTGTATCCATCTCAGATGCCCATTTTGTGGATTAGATCTTTAAACTTGGGGGATCTGATCTTCTCAGTTCTTATATGTCCGGTTTTCATTTCAAACTCTAAAATATTCTATTTTAATTTTTCAGTTCATCTTTGAAACATTTTTTAACAGGACTGTAGGCACCCTTTAGTTATTTACAGTTCTAACAGTACTGCTTTCTAAATAGTTGCAGAAGGTCCTAAAGCAGTTAAGAGTTAAAATACCTGAAAATGAAACACATAGTTTTAATTCTAGCTCTGATATGTGTCAGCTACATGACCTTAGACACTCAGCCACTCTTTACCTTTTTTTCCTCTGTTTTCTGACATTAATAACTGACATTACCTATCTCATACAGAGCTGTGAAGATTAATTATATAAATAATTATTCTGCATAAACTTCTTAGAACAATGTTATGATTTGTGTCTGGGTGTCCCCCCAAAGCCTCATGAGGTCATGGGGCAGGCTTTTAGAGTTTGATTGATTATGGGTGTGAGAGCTACACCTGCCCTGGGGTGGATAGTTTGCATATGTAAGGGAAGAGCAAGAGGCTGCTTGCGGGCATTCCTGGCTTTTGTGCTTGTTGCTTTGCTGTGTTCTGCCGCCGTGAGCTGTAGCCCTCTGCCATATGCCACTCTGCCTTGTAATCTGTCAAGTATGGACTGAAACCTCCACAAACTAAGCGAAATAAACTTTTCCTTCCTTAATTTTGGGCATCAGGTATTTTGTCCCAGCAACTAGAGAAAAGTAACCAAGACAAACAAACATCATATTTAATTTCTGTATGTATGCACATCAGCTCCTTCTACTGTGTCCCTGTTATTATTGAAGTAATCTGTAAAGATAAATCCCTTAGGTGTTGATAAATGAGAGCTTGAATATAATCTAAAGCAATAATATAGAGGAGATAACTAAAAAAAGAACTAGCTTAAAAATACTATGACAGAAACCACAAACTTTCTATTGTGTTTTTAAAGAGAGGAGACAGAAACATCAAATTACACAGAAGAGGGAAAAAGTTCAATATCTGTGCATTGCCAGTGAAGAAAAGTAAATAGAAAGTGAGATGGAGGTCTTACAGAACCTTTTTCTCAATTCTCAGCCAGGCTGTCCCTTTTAAAAATAAGACAAAGCCATTTCTCTGCTCCAAGAGCTCTAGTAGATCACCACCTCACCAGAGGGATGGTGTCATTAGTTTGATGTGGTTCTCAGATCCAAGACTTCACCACACCAGTTGCTCCCTGTGGGATTTAGCTTGTCTCCTGTTCTCATTCATTCTGTGTTACACATCAGTCCTCTCCTCACTGCCTTCTCTACCGCTTCTTCACTTCCCCCATCATTTATGTCCATTGCGCCAGTTCTTTCCAAATATATTGATTTGCATCATCAGAACTGTAAAAACAATTGTAGGGAAAGTAGATATTTGGAGGAGAAAGAGATCCAATGAATGAGCGTAAATAGACTTTATATTTATACTGGGTTAGAATAAATCTTTTTCTTCTCTGTCTTTTAGAGCAGCTGTTTTCCTCTTCCATACTTCTTTCCTCTTATCCCCACTGAGGCACAATTCTGAAGCCATTTCTTTTTCAAGTTAGCTTTAAAAAAAAAAAAAAAACGAATTCATCCAAATTGAAATGTTCTCTCATCCTATATTTAGTCTTTATTGTATGTGCCATACAACTTGTAACTTAGTAAATATTATTTTCTAGCTATCAGTATCTGCTCAACTTAATCACTTGAAACAATACTATAGTGAGTTTATTTTTTCATTGTTGCTGGTGGTGATAGCATGGGTTTCTTGGGTGTATGTGTGGTCTTTACCCTTACGTATACATTATAGATCCCTTGTAAGACAAAACCACAAAGGGTCAGTATATACAAGTCTTCATGTTTACTTAATTCATTATTTTCAGTAAGTGTCTCTATTGGTAGTAAATTCATCTGGTCGATGAAATATGCATTTTTTGCCCCACTTTTCTCTTTATGTTTAAGACAAGTGTAATTTGTAAGGTTTTGTCTTTCTATTTTGCAGGTCTCATACAGACTTTTTGAAGACATGGGCCTTTTCGAAGCTTTTAAAATTCCAGTTAGAGAATTCATGAATTATTTTCATGCTTTGGAGATCGGATACAGGGATATTCCTTGTAAGTATAAGTCATGTGTGAGATAATGTTTCTTACCTCTGTCATATTTGCTGTAGGTAGTGGGGTGTTGAATCATTAGCACAGAATTGCACATTACCAGCACTCAGTGTGACTACACTGTATAGCAACTGGGAGAGATGGCCCGTGTTAAACTTCTCATCCCTCCACAAGGACTGTGTGAGACCCTGGGTCTTCACCTCTGGTGCCTCACCTCTTCATCCAGAAAATGGGGATCATAATTGCTGCTTCATCAGATCATTAGGATAAAGTGAGGTAATCATTTTAAAGAGGTTATAATAATACCTCATCTATAATAAATCTAACTTAGTTTGGCATGTAAATAATTAAATCTTAAATTTATACTTTCTGCTGTTAATAATCTGCCTCTTCTATTGGGTAGCTTAAACTTTTATTATGGAATCTCAAGAGTTAAATCCCCAAATATCAAGGTTTTCTCAATCTAAAGGGAAATCCGGTTGGTGTTTACAGGGACAAGATGATCACCTAATAACTAAAATAAAACAAGGTATCTGGAAATGCTTATGGAAAGATGACAAGAAACTTTTTAAAAATCAGGGAAATTTCAAAATGTCAGAGAGAGCAAAATCAAGTAATTACGCATGGACTTATTAAGATTTGTCATTAGTAATGAAATACGGAGATGTTAATTTTCCAGTATGTGACATTTCAGATATCATTTGTCAGGATGCCTAAAGAGAAGTGCCCTACAGTGCTACAAAACATATGGATCTGGAAAACATGTCCATAGGTCTAACCACTGGAGTTATGGAAATGTGTAGAAAGCCAGCTATACTTCAAGGGATTGCATACACACAAAAATAATCAAACATAATATATGGGTTGGGACATTTTCTAGAAAAAGGTTACTCCAATCATATTTTAAATTCAACTTGGTTTTATGTATCTTGGACTTTGTCTTCATTACTTTTCTCATTGCTGAGACAAAATATCCCACACCCAAAGTTAAAGGATGATAGGTTTATTTGGCTTTCAGTTTGTAGAGGTTTCAGTTCAGGCTTGGCTGGGTCCAAGGCAGGGTGGCGTGGCAGAGGAGCATCACACAGGAGAAACAGTTCATAGCAGGCAGAAGTCAGCAAAGCAGGGAAGTAGCAAATAGCAAACCTCTTTCTGTCCCTTATATCTTATCTAGGCTATCTCCCATCCTTAGGGCAGGTAGTGCTCATACCCAGGGTGTGGCAGCTTTAATCCTACCCAAAACTATGCCCAATCAATCAGTGAACTAATTCAATAGTCACACACTCTTAATCCCAGCATCACATATTCTAGATCTAGCCTCCTCTGAAAAAGCCCCACCTATGACCATGTGACACTTTGGGGGGACATCTGGACATGAGCCATAAAAGACTTCAAAAGGCAATGTCTTTGTTTATAGTTCCAGACTAGGCATTAAATAAAAACACATATATGGATACAGATGAAGCACAAGTCTTTCCAGAAAGGGGTTACACATGAACCTTGAGGTTCGCTGTTAGCATGTTATCCACACTGTAAAAAACTGAAATGAAAATGCTCAGCCAATAAGAGTGTAATAGGAAAGTAGAATGAAGAATTGAATATGCAAATGAGATTTGCTGAAGAATATGGTTGCAAACCGTAGACAAAGTAGGGTGATTGGCACAGGGGAAGGCAGAGCTTAATAGTACTGGACCTTTGGAGAAAGTCTGGCAGGAAGTGAGCGTTGCAAGAGAGATATTAAAAAGGGGTTGTTAAGATCTAAAGATAAAGCTTGCTTTCTTAATGCTTTTTTCCCAAGGCTTATCCTGGTTGGAGCTAGTGATTGACAGAAGTGTTAGTGAGTGGCCGAGGTTAAGGAGTTACACAAACAAACCTTTACAGAGGGAAACCACTAAAAACACTACAGAAATGCTAGTCAACAGACTGAGTTTCCAAATTAATGTAATATTTCCAAATATATTTCTAAATAAAAGTTTTATGGAGTTCACAGTGATAGTAGATTTCATTGTGATAATAAATATCAACTTTTCTCTAGGGAGTGTATCATTAAATCATAGTGAAAGATGCCTAGTAATCAAGTACAAAGTTTCTAGATTTTTTTTTTATTTTAAGAAATAAAAGAAGGAAAACATATTAACAGACAGACATCCATTTACAAAATAGCATAAGAACAATACAAACAAAACAGAGTTACAGACAAAGTGGTAGGAAATTAACAATGGTTGTTGTATTACTTATTGGTATCTTCAAAGTGGTTTCTCAGGAAAGCAAATAGAGACATACAAGATTGATCAAACATGTAATCATTAACTGTTCCTTTCAGTAAAGCAATAGAAGATAGTAGTACACCTATGTTAGCTATCCTTTATATACATATATACATACATAATTTCCCCTTCTTTCCCTTCTCTTTTCCCACACCCCAGTTGCCCTTTACTTTTGAGCATTTTCTTTTTGTTTCACAATGTCTATCATACCTCCTAGTTTTTATTCACTCTTTCAGCTCTTACACAAGTGAGACAATATGATTCTTACACATGCAGGTCTGATTTATTTCACTTATGAGTATGGTCTCTAGCTGCGACCATTTACCTATAAAACCTTGAGTTTATCTTTCTTTATAGCTGAGTAATATTCCATTATATAAAAAATTCTCAATTATATCATTCATTTTAAATTTTATATTTTCATTGCTATAAGTGAATATTTTTTCTCGTGAACTAGTAAATTCTTCATCACACATGAAGAGTTTATTATAATGAGCTTGCCTATGTTATTAGAAGTCCCAGACACTTTCCATAAAGGAATTTATTTACACCTCTCAGAAAAACTATAGTTTGACTGATAATTACTTTTAAATAATAATATTTCACATATTTGGGTTGTACATTTAGACTATCATGATATTTAATGATAGCTTTGATTGTTTTCAATTACAATTAGTATACTCAAAAATTTGTTGTGCAACCATTTTAATATTTACTCCTCAATAATATTTCTGATGGCTATTCTAAACCAATAGTCAGCTGAAAAAACCCTCAGAAACCAACATGAAAATGGGGTTGGATTAACTGTCATAGAACAACGCACTGATACAGTAAAACTAAATCTATTATTAGATGTAAGTATACCTTGAACAGTTTTTAAGAGATAAGGAAAATGTGAACGTTTTCAAATGTTGGATCTTGATTTAAAAATAATATGGAAAAAAGATAGAAGGAAAGCAGGAAGGAGAAATGTTATGAAATAGCAGTACATAAGTCCCTAAAATAGGCAAATTGCTGGTAGAGATGTGATAAAATATATTTGTTCTGTAAAGATTCAGATAAACTAATGTAGAATTGGTAGCTGGAGGAAGATAAATGATGTTCGGTGTAGTCCTCTCTGGTTGGGCACTTCGGCTGGTAAAGAGGACAGTGAACAAGTTAGAGTGTCCCCCTCCTTCCTTTCAAGGAAGTGTGGTTTGTTGTGTGTCTGTGTATGCGTCCATGGTGTATCACTGGTGTGTGCCAGCACGTGCATGTGTGTTAGGTATTGTCAGAGGAGAAGCGATTGCCACAGAGGTGAAGGAATTATTGGGTTAGAGTGTCTCCCTCCTTTCTTTCTCAGTACTGGGAATTAAACCCAAGGGCACTCTATCCACTGAGCTGCATCCCTATCCTTTTTTTATTGTGAGATAGAGTCTTGTTCAGTTGCCCAGCCTGGCCTCCTCTTTGCAGTCCTCCTGCCTCAGCCTCCTGCCAAGTCACAAGGATTACAGACCCGCGCCACCATACCCAACTTGAGGGTGCTTTTCCTAATTCCAAAACTTATCATCTCTCAATTAGATTCTTCCATGTCTTATTATTCAAATTTGAGAAATAAGGAGAATGCCTCAGAAATGTCCATGACCATGGAGCTATTTCACATCAGCAAGGAGCATAGGCTCAGTCTGCTGTGTTTATCTCAGCTCAGTTCTGCTGTATATCTTGTGGCCTGCCTGTTTCAAAGCTAGCTACAAGGGTGACCTGATATGAACTAGTGGGGCAGAACTGCTGCGTTATTAGCTATACTCCAGAGTAAAAATAAATATTGTAAAGTGTTAATTGTATCCTTTACTACTTCCTTCACCCTACCGTGCATAGAAGCACAGACAAAATTTTAAATAGAAAATCTACAAATTTGACATACACCTCCAAACCTCCACACCAGTTCACTTCAACTCTGTGCGTGAAGGTAAGGGAGAAGTTGAGAAAACAAGTCTACCCAGGCAGAGGCAGGGAATTGGCAGTGCTGGGAAGGAAGTGTGGTTTGTTGTGTGTCTGTGTATGTATCCGTGGTGTGTCACTGGTGTGTGCCAGCATGTGCATGTGCGTTAGGTATTGTCAGAGGAGAAGTGATTGCCACAGAGGTGAAGGAATTATCGGGTTAGGAATTAGTCCAAAATGTAGAGATGAAGGAAGGGGAATGGTAAGAGAAGAGCAAGACTAGTCTGACACCACATCTTATCCCGTTTGTTTGCCTACACTAGCTAGAGCCAGTAGGGGAATTCTTAGCCTGTTTATAATTGCAAGAGAACCTCTCACTACCTTAAGTTGACTTGGCTGCTTTCTTTCTTAGTACGTTTGCTTCTGAGTTGGGTCAGCAGAAAGTGAATGTCAAGAATGTCAGAGATACAAGCACAGAGCATAATATATCCTTGCACATAGTACGTGCTCAGTAAATATTTGTTTAATCAACCTGTTACTGTCTGCTGACTAGGCAGGTGATTTCCATTCTGTTTAAGTAACTGATGAAAGTGTGTTTAAATAAGCGGTTGGATCTGGTGAGTTGTGTTTTTATTTGGTGTGTTTGAACTTATACTCTAAAATCAAAAGGACCCTTTTTATTTTTTCAAATATTTTAGCTAGTTTTGAAATCAAGATCACACTGGACTCCTTAGATGAGCATGGCAGCTTTTCTTTTTTTTTTTTTTTTTTCCATTTTCAGCATTAATCTGTTAAAATTGGATTATGCTTTCCTTGAAAGTTTGTAAAACTTACCAGTAATGTCTTCTGGGTCTGGGCCTTAGAGTAGGATTTCTTGATCAGAAGGTGTGGTAGGATGACTTTACAGGCTCTTCCAGCTCCCTGATCCTTGTGATGCTGGGTTTTTCTGACTTGCACCGGTTGTGGAAATAGCTCACCTGTGGACATCTTCTCAGTTTCCACCAAGGGAAAGGAGCTGAATTTAGAAGCTTGCTCTCAGGAGTTGTGCCTTCTACCTGGCATGCTGTGTCTCTCTTCTTTCAGGTCATTGTTGCCATCTACCTCCCCAAAAAGTGCCATTTGGGTGCTTTGTAGATTTAACCTACATTGGAGAGATGTGCTATTCATTGTCATTGCAGTTTTTAAAGAGCTATGCAAAAGAATAGTACTGTATTCTATTCACAGACCACATCTGGGTGCTATTTGTCAGACATGAGCTGTCAGAAAATTGAGACCATTAGTTGAACAGGTTTTGAGTTCTTCAATCCTATTCTTACAAATTCAGCATTCATTTTGAGAGCAGGCAAGTGCTCTACATTAGCTTGCCAACTTGTTCTACAATAACAACTTACTGTGTGTGCATAATACTTATGTTGATTGCAAACTCACAGTGTGTCGGAGACTTTAAAATACAATCACTTCCATGATCCTCAGAATTGTTCTGTGAAACCGACACTGTTACTTATCTCCATATTTTTAAGATAAGGAATTAAGGCTTTTTAATCTATCTTATTTTCAAGACAGGAAAATAAAGTATACATAGCATGTGGTGTAACACAGAGAACAAATATCAGAACAAAAACAAAGCCCGATCTGTCCCAAATCCAGAAAATTCTAGCATGATCAACTTTTTTTTTTTTTTTTGTCTTTTTGAGACACAGTCTTACTATGAAGTGCAGGCTGACCTTGAGCTCACTTTGTAGCCCATGCTATCCTTGAATGCACAACAATCCTCCTGCCTCAGCCTCCCGAGTGCTGGGATTACAGGCCTGCACCACCATGCCTGGCTTATGATCAACTTTGTACATGGCATAGATAAAGAAATAACATATGAATGTAATTGTTTTGTCTGTAAATTATCCAAAAGTGCCTACGTTTGTATCACTTGAAGTGGCATACACTCAGGGGTACAGTCTCCAGTCTCAATAAAATGAAGACTGAGAACTACACCCGCTTCCCACCTCCCAGAGACACAGGAGAACAAGTTTTGCTATTCTTTCTTGGGGATCCAGCATGAACCTGTCTCAAAATTCTCCTAACGAGATCTTCTTAAGCCCCTCCACTGAATTCCGGCATGGTTACCTAAGATGTAGCTGTGTTATCATTTAAAGGCAGACTCCTTCAAGAGTTCCCAGACATATAGAAAAGCAGGCACCTGCCTGGCAAGCGCAAGGTCATGAGTTCGATTCCTGGTACTGGAAAAACAAACAAACAAACAAACAAAAAAAGCAGGCATCATCCACCTACAGGCACCTGGGTACTACCAATGCCACATAAGCCAAGGACTTCTTTTTGTCAAACCAGGAAGTGAATGTTTCTCTGCTATTCAACCGTCCTTCTTGTGTTCCACTGGTTTGCTCTTCTCCTCATTCTTCGACTTTTCAGAAACATAATCTCTTCTGTGAAGGAAGGGGTATCATGTTGCTCAGAAGAAATAAAAGTGTGTAAAGTCATTACATTTAGGATAAACCAGTTAGTGAAGTACTTGTAGAGAGGCAGATAAATAAGAAAAACACTTGTAAGAATGTCACTAGGAAAAGAAGAGGAGGCAAGAGAATGCCAGGCTTGGTTTTGGTTCAAAATAAGCTGAACTGCACATGTACATGAACCTGTCTCCATGATGGTAATGTTATGAGCTGTGAATTTGCCTTCTCCATTATTTTACTCTTCCACAGATTACACAGATTGTTATATTCCTTTCTAGGTATTTCCTAGAAATATATTCCCAAGTTAGAATTTTTAATGAGAAAACACAATTGTGATATACTACCTACATTAATATACAAGGAGATTCTTATTTTTAACTTTATGTATTTCCTATAAACATATTCCCAAAGAATAGTTTCTTGATCTAAGAACTGACGTATAGACCCAGCTCTCTATATGATTATATAAGAGATTCTTTTTTTTTTTTTCTTGATGTATTTCCTGGAAATATATCCCCAGATTAGAATTTATTGATCAGAGGACATAATTGATTTTGGCTTTGAATTTTGTGTTTTGGATGAAAGCCTACGTAGAAAAGATGGGCTACTCATTTTTGTTGGTGTGTTTAAATATTGATGCTGAAGAATAAATAGCACTATGTTGTGTTTACAGATTATATTTGGGTTCCATTTGTCAGGAATGAAATATCAGGAAGTTGAGACCACTGATCTTTCAGGTTGAAGCCTGTCAGGGCTCTTTCTTTCCTTCTGTTCTCCTGCATAGCTGTCTACAGGAGGGTGGAAATAAGCCCAAGAGTAAACACTGCAGTTTTGCATACACATAGGCTTCTGATAGACTCTGGATGCCAATTTTTCCATTTCAAACATCTAAATGCATAGTTAATGCTGTGGGTGTTGATTTTTCTTCTTACTATGGATGTTATGGAGGTATGAAAGAGTAACTAAAGGGTATTTGTCCTAGGAAGCTTGACTGGCTTTCATTGGGACTTTAAACTGTTTGGACTAAACCATTTGTCCAGTAGATGGCACTCTTAGTCCTTGGACCCCAACGTTCACAGGTTGATGACTATTCCTTTGCATTGGCTGCAGATCATAACAGAATCCATGCCACTGACGTCTTACATGCTGTTTGGTATCTTACTACACAGCCTATTCCAGGCCTCTCCACTGTGGTTAATGATCCCGGCTCAGCAAGTGATTCAGGTATGTATTGAGTACCTCTGGGCTCCCTTGTGAAACAGAAATGTGTGGTGTGTGTGTGTGTGTGTGTGTGTGTGTGTGTGTGTGTATGTTTAAAAGGAAGTAAAAACAAACGATATATTTAATACTTCTTTGATTTTCTATTACTTCAACTTTCTCTTCTCAGATTCTGACAGTGGATTTACGCATGGACACATAGGATATGTGTTTTCAAAAATGTATAACACAGTGGACGATAAATACGGATGTCTTTCTGGAAACATCCCTGCCCTGGAGTTGATGGCTCTCTATGTAGCTGCAGCCATGCATGATTATGACCACCCAGGGAGGACTAACGCTTTCCTGGTTGCTACTAGTGCTCCTCAGGTAAATTTTTAGATTTTGATTAGGAGAAATAATTCAGTGTAGAGATTTCTCTGAAGAAAATTCACTTTATCAATCTGATTTCTAATAGGCACCAACTAATAGATTCCAAACTATACTGAGTCCTAAGATAAAATTGTAAAGGTTGTGTAATTTTGAGAAGATGTCATGGTTTGTTCTAAGATATTCATGGCAAGGACACAACATTTACCCTTAGGGTGTTATTGTCCCTTCTCAGTTACTCTAAGAAGAAAATCTAATGCTCTCCTCAATATTATTCAAGAATTCCAAAATAAGTAGATATTTACTATATATAGTCAATTATTGTACTAGATAAAGTATGATATTTCCCACGGCTGCTTGTGAGTTGAAGATATTTTGATTGTGGACTTTTTAGGGATTCCATTCCTCTTCAATAATTAAAAGAAAAGATAATTCTTAGGACAGATGCAGAAATTAACCAAACTATCTTATAGGGATAATTGATGTGTGTGTGTGTGTGTGTGTGTGTATAAATTCCTGTACCTTGCAAAGAAATCCAAAGAAAAAGATTTTATGAAAAACAAACTATACTAAGGCAAACTAAGGGCCCTTACTTGCTATAATTTGGGAAAAAGAAAGTTTCAAACACTGGGACTTATACTACAAAAGAAAATTTAACAAAGAAACATAACCAACAATCAAGATATGACAGTAAATAACTCTAAGCAGCCAGCAGTCACAAGATTGCTTTTTCTGTTGTTGCATGAACAAAATAGCTATTTTGCATATTGTTATTTCTTTTTGTGATTCTCTTAAAAGCTTAAATAGCGGAACTCTTCATTCTCTTCCTTCTTTGCGTAGGCGGTGCTATATAACGATCGTTCCGTTTTGGAGAATCATCACGCGGCTGCTGCATGGAATCTTTTCATGTCCCGGCCAGAGTATAACTTCCTAACTAACCTTGACCATGTGGAATTTAAGCATTTCCGTTTTCTTGTCATTGAAGCAATTTTGGCCACTGACCTGAAGAAACACTTTGACTTCGTAACCAAATTTAATGCCAAGGTAACTAGATTTATGCCAGTCTTTACTTTATGGCAACATTAAAAGATGTCAGAGAATCAAAGAGAATCAAAATTGAACAAAATTCAATTGCCATCAGCTCTCCTGTGTCAACTGTGAAAATAAACTGATAAAAAAAGTGTTTAACCGGAAGCAGATATCTAAGGTATTGGTCTGAATCTAGGTACTTAAGCAGTTGAAGTGCTGTGTGTCTATTATATTTCTTTCTATAGATGAACAATAAATTCTGAGTATTTTTACAGATTTAGTTTACTTTGCTCTCATCTGTATGACATACTTATATAAATTGTCTAGTGGTAGTAAAGATTAAAACCTTGAAGCAAACTTTCTTACATCAAGCATAAATGCCCAAATATTAATTCAAGAAAATTTATTATGGATTGCTATATTATTTTAATAGCAATCTCCAATATATGTTAACTTAAATAGCACTTATGGTCAAGTCCATAATTAAGAATATTGTATGCATCATTTATTATTTTACTTTTCAGCTAAACTATTTTACTATTAATTTATGTAAGCCAATAACATTATTTTATAAAGCTAAGGTTCCAGTTCTTTGGTATTCTGAGCTCCACATGATAGAAAGAGAATTAATATTCTATTGTACTTTATTTCCTGTTCAACCTTTGTTTTCATCAAAAGTAAAACATTTTAACTTTGTCCCTCAACAAGGTGAATGACGATGTTGGAATAGATTGGACCAATGAAAATGATCGTCTCTTGGTTTGTCAAATGTGTATAAAATTGGCTGATATTAATGGGCCAGCTAAGTGTAAAGAGCTTCATCTTCAGTGGACAGAGGGCATTGTCAATGAATTTTATGAACAGGTAATTTAAGTGCTTATACTATCTCCAACTGTGTATTCAGGCTGATCATTAATTCACCAAAACTTTCAAAGCCCTATAAAGTATGATTACTCAGTTTCTGTCACACTTTTGTCAGAAACTCTCCCGGACAGTTTTGATCAAGGAATTAAAAAAAATCATGGTAAAAATCAAATAACTATAAACTATTAACTATCAAATAACTATAACAATTAACTATAAACACAGAGCTCTAAGATAAAATTATTTGCAATCATTTTGGGGGAAGATGTTGAGATAATGGAATTACATAATGAGACATTAGGAAGACCTTTGAAATCCTGTTTGTCTATAGATGTATTTATTATAATAAGAGGCCGTTTAAATTTATTTGGAGGTCTATATTATATTAAGTTCATTTACTTTTCTATCAGAGTTAAAAATAGCATATGAGAAAATTTTCAAAACAATGGACATTTTATTTGATGTGTTGATAGGTTAGCAGACTACCCACCAAGGTACAACAATATCATAAGTATGGGTCAATCTTCCCTATGGAGCTCTAACCTGATTCGATTATACCTGGAGCTTTCTACTTAGTATTGTGAACTACACCTATAAGAATGTAGAGGTAATGGTGCATGGCTGAAGGACAGAAACCAGTGACATATAAAGTGAAAATATTTACTCAGGGAGAAATAGCGGTGACCGTCTTCTGATATTTAAAAGCTAATATATGAATTTAGGAATAGGTTTATTTTAATGTTGCTTTGAAGACTAAAGAAGGTAAATCATATAAAGTACCTCTCCAGTCCCCGACAAGGGATATAAGTATAACCACTTCATAGAAGTTATTGGGAGGCACATTTGAAATCCATATCAGAAAGAAATAAGTATTACTAAAGGTGTCCAAAAATAGGGTGAGGTACTTTATTAAGTAGTAAATAGTCTCTGGAAATAGTTAAATAGAGACTAGAATGAACTCTTATGGGAATTATAAGCAGGATTCATATATAGAATAAAATTTTGTGTTTCTATTTTTAAATAATATACTTTTTGGAGGAATGGGATTAATTCATAATTATTACTCAAAAATTGAAGTGCAGAGAAAACATGAAGGGAAAGAAATATCCACTAAACAATAATACAAGTACTTAGACATAACTATTGCTGATACTGTATTTCCTTCCTTAATTAGATAACTTCTAGTTTATGATGTTAATTTTTTCCCAGAAAAGTCTGAAGCAGTTCCAAACATGTATATAGTAATACTATTAAACATATAATGAAAATATAGAAAGCAATATAATCACAATGTGGTAATTCAAACAAGGTATCAATCTGAATTGAGCAATAGGTTATAAGATTTCAAGCACCCAAGTCGAAAATTGAAAGCAGGATATGTTGTGTATTTGTTTCATTATCATTTTGAGTGTTGCATTTTAAGATTCATCTATATTCGCATTTAAAGAACACTGACTAGTGTGATAAAATTTTATCTACTGATATTTTAAACACCTCCTTGTACTATATTTCCCTTGATAAGTGGCCAAAACCTCAAGATTACTAAATTAGTAAGTAGCAGCAATTAAGCATTTTTTAGCGGTCTTAGTGATTCAGTTAGAATTTCTTAGCAAAGAAGTAAAGGAGTTTGTGCATGAATGTTTGGGCTCTTGAAGATCTGTGCATTTTATCTTCAGGTGAACACTGACTTTTCTTGTGCCTTAGGCTCCTGTCACCTTCTTTCTAGCTCGCTATTCATGGTAAATGTCTCTTCCTAGGGTGATGAAGAGGCCAGCCTTGGGTTGCCCATCAGCCCCTTCATGGACCGTTCTGCCCCTCAGCTGGCCAATCTGCAGGAATCCTTCATCTCTCACATAGTGGGGCCTCTGTGCAACTCCTATGACTCAGCAGGACTCATGCCAGGAAAATGGGTTGAAGACAGCGATGAGTCAGGAGACACTGATGACCCTGAAGGGGAAGAGGAAGCTGCAGCCGTGAATGAAGAAGAAACCTGTGAAAATAATGAATCTCCCAGTAAGTTACCGAATCTAGTTCTAATGGGATTTCTGAGACTGTTTCCTTGTTGAGGTTCAGTTGAATTTTATGCTTCTTACGAATTACATCTTTTGTGTGCGGATATCATCTTTTGCTTTTGATTATGGATAGCCCCTTCGTCCATATCACAGAAATGGTAGACTGTGGAATTTATAATAATGTCACATATCATACAAATGTCAACATATATAACTTGTTGTATCATAGCATATATCATACGGATGTATATTTGTATCCTGGAGGAATTGTGAATTGAAACCTGTGCTTCAGAATATTTTAGGGATTTGGAAAGGAAAGACTGCCAGCGGAAATGTAAACCAATCACAGGCTTAGAGGGAAAGCCATGTGAAGCAGTAAGAAATAGCATTTGTTTGTTCTTTCAACTTACTGAGTACCCACTGTGTGCCAGGCATCTTTGCAGGTACTGGGGTAGAGCTGTAAAGAGACAGACAAGCAAACAGACAGACAAATAAATCCTTGCTCCTGTAGACTTACATTCATGGGCTTGGCTCACACTAAACAAGACGTATCAGTTTATCTATGATATGTTAGGTACTGACAGGTATGAGAGCGGGAAAAAAAGGACATATGAAATACTCAGGAGAAAGTTGAAAGTTTTAGAAGATAACCAGGGCCATGAAAAATGTACTGTAAATAAGAGAGAGATTTAAAGAAAAGAGCTTATGGAAGTAAGAGACTGATTCATTTGGATGTGTGAAAAGAAGATTCCAAGGAAAGGAGAAAGCAGCGTGTGTGAAGGTCCCAAGGTGAGCATGGACTGGAGGGCCAGAGGAGAGGAGAGGATGATACAGACTTGCAGGTCGCCCTATGTAGGGCACACTGCAGATTTCAGCTTTCACACCAGGATGAAAACCATCACTGGTTTGAGGCAGAAGAATTAGTGGGCTCATATTTTAACTGTTATTTCAGCGGCTATGTTGGGCATGTTCTCGGGGTAATAAAATTGGAGCAAGAAAAGAAGCAAAGGCATCATCTAGCAGACTTCTGACATTAGGAGTGAGACAGGACTGTGACTTTGGGTCAGCGCAGTGACAATATGAACAGGTCACATCTGGTAATGGGCTTGGAGTACACCTTGTGGCCAATCTAATCCATTTAATTTAACTGGCTATGAAAGCATTATTTTTCTCCATGCCTTTAAATATACTCTATATTTCTGCTGCTGACTAATAGCATAATTAGTAAAACCTATGACTCTTACAATAATATTGTACAAATACTGTTCTGTGCCATACAGCACCGTATAGTATATAGGTGTTTTCTACCTCTCTGAGTAAATGAGAGAAGTAAACCCTAATATTTTTCAGAGTGTAATTAAATATTACCAATGAAAGACATTCTGATCACCCCTGTACATCCCATTTGTAATTACAGTTAGGAAAATGAAGGACCTGGTTCACTTCAACCATCAGTAAAGAGATTTCCCTGCACCATATTGATGCAATTTTTCCTTGTCAAGTCCCTGTTGTCAGGACTTGCAAGCAACAATAAAGAGGTCATCACCACCTAGACTTGTGGTAGAGTTCTGCAAATCTATCCTTAGTTTTTGCTGATTCTACCCTATCTATGTACTTTTACACAGAACAGAGAAAACGGAACATTGTTTCTCTTCAATATTCTACACCCAAGTTAATTCTATTTCTCTGATGCTTATATTTAAAAAAAAGACATCTATTAGAAATTTTGTGTTGCTCTTAGGATCAGGGCTGCAAGCCCAAACTTGGGATTCATGAGATATTTATTCATGTGTATATTTAATAAGCGTGTATTAGTATTCTCATTTTACCTTGTTTTCATTTCAGACAGCCAAGTATTTTGCTGTCTTAGGAAGGAGAGGAACATTTTTTTCCACTGAGTGATATTAGAAGGTGTTTGTCAGCTTAGCTGCAGGGCAAGCTGTGTTCCCATGGGCCCCGACCATTTGTTACCTGAACCTGAACACATTGCAAATATAAATACAGAATCCAGGCATCAGGAACAGAAGGAGTGAAGCCAAGACTTTATTTCATAGGCTCAACTTGTCAGCCTAGGCTTTAGCATCAGTGCTCCATCCGGATATTGCATTTCTTTCTGTGTGCAAGGTTAGGTCACCATACTGGCTTACAGATGCTGATACCCTGCTCTCCTGTGTGCCCCAGTTACTAGGTTCGCTAAAGCAAGAATGAGAGCTTTGTGGATTCTGTTACTGATGGCTTTCCAAAGTTAACTGGCCACCTTATATTAACATATAAAATATCCCATATACAATGATTTTTTTTTTTTGGTTTTTCTCCGGTACTGGAAACCGAACTCATGACCTTGCGCTTGCCAGGCAGGCGCTTTGCTGCTGAGCTAAATCCCCAGCCCCCATATACAATGATTTAATATAATAGCTTTAGATATCCTTGAAGTATTCCTTCATAGCCAAGGAAAACTGATAAATGTTGAGCTATGTCAGTATTTTGAAATATTGGCCACATACAGTAGTGTTTGGTTAGCTACCTCATTTTACCAAAGACCAAAGCTCAGAAATCAAAGCAGTATTTCAAATTAAAAGAACCAAAAAAGGAAGCCAGAAAGCCAACTTTCTTAATTTTTAATTCCATTGCTTTTGGCTCTTGGTAATTTTGATTTCAGAACTCATATTGGTTGAGATGGTTACATAGATTTCAGAGAGTATTAAATTAAATATGTGCTGATAGCTTCTGTTGTTTGTAAAACTTGGAGATCTCCCAGGAAGCACAGAATAAAATGTTTCAGTGTGGTGTCCTGGGGAAAGAAGGCTTTTACCGCACCTCATAATTAAATCTGAAAGATTCCTATGGTGAACTAAGAGGTTTCTAATGAAGAACTAAGCTGCATTTAGAATCTGAGCAATGAAAGGCTCTTTGTTCTCATGTCAAAAGGTTCCAGCACTGAACAATCTGCCTCCCAAAGCAGGCGTGTTTTAGACCACCTGCAGATTCAAATCTACGCAAATTCATTTGGTACAAACTTTCTTCTACGTCACCTTATTCAATATAATTCCAGAGAGGTTTATTGCTAATGTTTAACAGCATTAATAGGAGAACAGCTGCTCTCACGGGGACTGGCCTGGAAGGAGAAAGAGAAAAATTGAGCCTTTGTTAGCCTCTTCCTCACAAATGTGTACAACTTTCAGCTGGAATAATCACCTTGAGCTGTGCAGTGATTTCCATAACTGTGGTTCAGACCTGTCCTCAGCCAGCGGTCACCTGTCACTCGCGTGATTCAAAGGATTTGGTTCAAAAGCCTGTCAACGTTTTAAAAGCCCTCGACAGAAGCTCACTTGCGCTTACGTGCACCAAAGACAAAGTAGAAATAGACCAGTAGTTGATAGTGTAGATTAAAGTGCAATTTTTAATTTGCTTTTAAAAATTGAATATATTCATATATTTTTTTTTATTTTAATAGAAGTCCATACAATTTGATAGCAAGTCAATAAATATGAATATGCAATAAAGTATATTTAAATGTTAGGTTAATGAATATCTTCCTTGTAAGAACACTTGCAGATGAGTAACAGACCTGTAGGGTCTTGCCCCTGGCCCCCTCCTGCCTTGCTGTGTGCCAAACTGCCGGCCCCTTCCTTACCAGCACGGTGCGCTCTCATCACTGCCTTCCAGCTCATGTGTCCTGTCCTGCCCTTTAGAAAGAAAGCCTCCCTCTTCTCCCACAGTGTGTCCTCTCTATTGCCAGAGTGTGATGGGCCCAAGAGAAATTGCACAGACACTTGTGAAAAATGGCATGGAAGTCATTATTCAAAGCTTTTGCTGTAGGAGTCAACACTATTGTAATGAGGAAGGGAAAATGAACTGTTAAAATAAAAAGTGAGTTTTTAAGTGCTGGGTGAGCTAGGCATCCATACTAGAGGGCCTTACGGGGGAGGTAGCTAATGTCATGAGGCCATCTGTGTGTGATAACCAGAGCACATAGAAGTTAGACTCCTACCCACCCACAAAGCTCCCTTCCCTTCCCTTCCTTCCCCTTCCCTGGTCTGCTCTCCCCTCCTTCCTCTTCTCCTTCCATCTTTCCTTCTTTCCTTTATTCTTTTTCTTGCCCCTTTCCTTCCATCCTTCCTTCCTTCTTTCTTTTCTCCTTTCCTTTTCCTTTTTTTTTCTTCTTTTCTCTGTCATTTTTAAGATTCTATTCTGGTAAGAACACTTAAAATTTTATCTACCCTCTTAATAGTATTTTAAAATATATAAATTATATAGCTCCAGTGTTTAACACTGTTATAGTCAAGGGTACTGGGGTGCGGGGGATTGAACCCAGTGCCTCCAGCTTGCTAGGCAAGTGCTCTACCACTGAGCTACATTCCCATCTATGCCTTGCCTCTCTTTCTAATTTTATTTTGAGACAAGTTCTCACTGCATTGCCCAGACTGGTCTCAAATTTGCAATCCTGCTACCTCAGCCTCTGAAGCAGCTAGAATTACAGGCATATGCCACCACATCCAGCTAGTACTACCATTTTCTTTCCCTCTTTTTTTCATACTAATATACAACCCAACCATTGGAAATTTAAAATAGGGTTTCACTAAGTTGCCCAGGCTTCATTCAAACTTGTGGTCTTCTAGCCTCAGCTTCCCAGAGCCCTAGGATTACCTGACTGCACTTTCTTGATAACTGCTTTCCAAAGTGATGGCCCCCAGCTCCCTGAAAAAACAACATTCCTGGGTAAAACTAATTAGAGACTGGGAGAAGTTTGTTGACGTTGTGAAAAAGTACTAGAGAAAGAATTTTCAGTTACAACCTTTCTAAAGCAAATGCTGTAAAAACCAGAAAGATATCTGCTTCAAATTAAGTCAAGCTGGAAGAAATAATAAGGTGGTCTTGGTCACAAATGTGTGTATGTCTAAAATAGCACAAGTTCTCAGTTTTTGTTCTCTTGAATTTTCTCCTTCAGAGTACAAACTCCCTGAAGGGAAACCTTGAGCCTAATTCATCTGTGTTTCACCAGTATCCAGAAAGTTGCTTATTTCTTTGTGAATGTCAGTTTGATCAATGGGTCCACCTCATGAATCATGATAAATATAATATGTAAATGTGTTTACGTTCTTGTTGATAACCCTGCTTGTGATCATGCCTCCTAGGATCTTTCAATTTAATAATTTTTGTTACCTGTCTGTATGGTTCAAAAGCAATTAAAATAGCGTCTTTTTTCTATATTATGTGTTCAGAATTCATCTTGTAAAGTCCTAAAGTACAAGATATTTATGCATAGTGTGTTGTAATACAACTGTTAAAAGAATCACTAGCACATCCACAAAAATGTTGGTAGATGAGAAATTGGTAGATTGGAAAATTATTCATCTTTTACTCAATAATTTGGGGCTTTGTGGATATCCACATAAGTAGGGGAGAGAAAAGTATCTATCCTAGAGAGGTTTACAGTCTATGAAAGAATCTTCATGTAACTTCTAAATTCCTGGCCTATGATCTCTCAGATGAAGGAATATAACGAGAGTTACAATACATTCTGATTACTTAGAAAAGAGTGGACCTTTCGTTTAAGCTGCAGGCCAACTGCCTACTTGAGTCTTCACTTGGGTCTCCCAGAAATATTGCCCAAACCCACACATCTGCTCTTCCTCTAATGCTCCTTTTCTCAGGAGTCTGACTACTATCTCCTCAGTTGCTCAAACTTGAAAACTCAGGGCTATATTTGACTCTCTGTCTTCTCTACTCCCTCTCTCTGATTGATTCCCTGGTCTTCTTGCTTCTACCTCAATATCTACCTAAATATCTCATATTTATCAACTTGTCTTCATTTCCATCAACCCTATCCCGATATATGCCACCATCATGATGCAATATCCTCCCAATGGTGTCATTTCTGACCCAGTGTCTGCCACCTGTCAGAGACTTTGTAAGACTCACAATAATTGCCCTACTTTTTTGGTAAAGTAAAAACACCTTGCCGGCAACATTCTGTTGATTGCCCCTTATCCAAAATGATTGAGTCTAGACTTGTTTCAAATTTTTCGTATGACACAGTATGTGCATGTACAGAGCCAGTTACCTTGGTGATGGTATAAGCACAAAATTAATTATACACCTTATACACATATTCTGAAGGTAACTTTATATAATTTTAGTGGACCTATGTTCTGATGATGATTATCCCATGAGGTCAGATGTGGAATATTTTACTGATAGCACCCTGTTGCTACTCAGAGTTTTGAATTCGGGAGCTTTTTGGACTTGAGATTTTCAGATTTGTTGTCTTTAGATTAGAGAAGGTCAATTTGTACTTCTCTTACATACCAGTGGCTTGCCAGAACCTAGAATGCTGCTCAGTTCCTGCCAGATTCTTACGAAACTGTTTAGGAATTAGAAGCCTAATTAACAAATTATAAAAGTAACTGTTAGTCTCTAAAACACCTTCTGTCTGTTTCTTCTGTTGAAATTAAGTTGATTATTTTTTGTGAATCAAAATATATCATTCTGTGAGCATTGTCTCTAAAGCTTTCCAACTGAAAACTCTGAATTAATCACAGGAGAATAGAGTTTATATATTTACTGAATGCATAGGTGCAGAGTTTTGTCACGTGTTGGAGCTGTACAGGTCCTTAGAAGGCTCTCTCAAAGAGCCTGTAGTCTAAAGGGAACTAATGCCTAGAATAATGAGAACAGAGTAAGCATCTGTATCACTTACCTTTCTGTCACTGGGACCAAGTATCTGATGCACACAACTTAAAGAAAGAAAGGTTTGTCTGGTCTCATGCTTTCAAAGAGGGTTCAGTCCATGGTCACCCGTCTTCAAGGCAGAAATGCCATGGCGGAAGGGAATGGGAGAGGAGAACTGCTCAATACGTGGCAAGCAGGAGGGACAGAGAGCGGGAAGAGTGAAAGCTAGAGCTTCAGTCTCCAAAGGCGGCTGGGAATGGCCCACACCAACCAGGCTCCATCTCCTAATAGCACATTCAGCTCAGCGCTCATCAGAGGATTAACCTACTGCTACCTCTGGCACCCTCCTGATCCCGCAACCTTCTGAAAGCCCCATTGAGGAACATATAAGACTCAGAGGACATTTTATCTCTCCAAACAGGAAAACTGTGGCTCCATGTAAGCATGATGTTGTCTAGTATTAACACTGCTTTGCTCCTCCCGTTTCCATGTTACCTGCCTGACAACTTGTTCTTTCAACCTTACTTTCTTCATGAGGTTCCCAACTGTCAATTTACTTGGTTTCAGATATATAAGCAGAGGATAAAAGGTTGCCAGTTCCCACCCTTCAACCCCACATTCATTCTGCATTACTGAGGAAAATTGCAGGGCAAGGCTTAGATAGTCTGATCTCTATTACATGCTTGCGCGAAGGCTAATCCCTGAGACATAGCTTGTATCTCCAGAAGTTAGACAGGGAAGTCAAATTTGACAATCTTTTCTACATAACTGAAGGAAGAAAGGAGAGTTCTCAGATAATCTGGGATGCACCAACCCCAGAGGATGAGATAATGATAAGGAGAATAGAGGAGAAAAAAATTAAAATAATATCTACTCTGGACAGTATTTATGGAGAAGCATGCAAATTTAGAAGAAAGAGATTGTTTCTTTGAAGAGGAATCCAGTACAATCTGACCAGGACTTATGGATGGATATAAATTTTATTAATGATTAAAAAACAGATTTGAAGGAGAGGCAACACCAGCCTGAAAGTAGAAGAGTTGTTTGTATATAAAGAATACAGAATGGGTAGGCCTAGTTCGCAGCCAGACAGCAGAAAAGCTGACTACAAATACGAGCTTGTATCCACTCGTGGAAGAACTGGGAATGGAATTTGAAAATATTTCTTTTCTCCTTTTATTTGCTGTTGTTTTTAATACTGGGGATCGTACCCAGGACCTTTGCACAGAGGTCCACCCTCCACCCTTTATTTATTTATTTGTCTGTCTGTCTCTCTATGACAAGACCTCACTAAGTTGACCATGCTGAGTTTGAACGTGGAGTCGTCCTTCCTAATCCTCCCAAATTGCTGACATTTGGATCATGTGCTGCCACACCTGGCTCAAAATTAACTTTTTAGTTTGTACAAAGTAGAGGACTAATCTAAAAGTGTCTTCAGAGAAATCAGTCTTGTAGACTTTTATGAGTCGAACTGACTGAGAATAAAATGAAGTTATTTCAGTCATCCAGGGGAGAAGTCTAGAAGCCTCAATGTGAGTAAAACTAGTATCAAGACACAGGGGGAAACTTGTGTGGACATTACCAAATACTAAGTACTGTTCACTGTGACATTTCAATGTTGCCATCATCCTTTTATTTCTCCCTTCTGGAAAACTCCATCCTTACAATATACAAGTCAGGGGATGGATATGTGTACTCATTGAATACTTAAGTCATTATTAATATGAAAATAAATAACTGCCATGTGCTCAGCCTACCCGTAAATATCTGATTTGGTGTTCCCTTTATTTTTTAATTTTAGAAAAGAAAACTTTTAAGAGGAGGAAAATCTACTGCCAAATAACCCAGCACCTCCTGCAGAACCATAAGATGTGGAAGAAAGTCATTGAGGAGGAGCAGCGACTGTCCGGTATCACAAACCCAGCCCTGGACCCATCTGCTCAGCAGCACGCCTCGGAGCAGATCCAGGCCATCAAGGAAGAGGAGGAGGAGAAAGGGAAAGCAAAAGCAGAGGAAACCCCAGCCCCAAAGCCCAACCAGTGACCCTGGATAGAATGAGCTGTGTTTCCGAACAGATCTTGATTTGTCACGGACTCTTTTTCAAGCCAGCACAATATTTAGACACAACACTGTAGAAATGAAAGAAGACGGGGAAATGGCTATTGCACTTTGGGATCCTTCGCATTTTATGTGTTTATTTTTGCAGTGAGGTACATTGTTAAAAACTCTCGCTCCCAGAAGCTTTCACACTGCGACACCAGCTTCTACGGATATTGTTTGTTTATGGAGGAAATATAGATGTGTGTGTGTATATAAGCTCCCACGTAGATACATGTAAAGCATACATACACACACACACACACACACACACACACACACACACACTGAAAGCCACGATTACTGTCTCCACAGTTTAGTAACATTCATATTAAGATATATAGTGGTCACTGTGATAATAAATCATAAAGGAAAACAAATCACATGGGAAGTGGTGTGGCTTAGTGTGGAAAGGGTACAGCCAATGTAGGTTACAGTTAAGCAGCTTTTGCTCTTCATACTGAGGGATGAAAGTTCCAGAGCATTATTTGAATTCTGATATATACTGCCAACACTGTTGTGTGTGTGTGTGTGTGTGTGTGTGTGTGTGTGTGTGTGTGAAAGAGAGAGAGAGAGAGAGAGAGAGAGAGAGAGAGAGAGAGAGAGAGAGAAGGAGGGAGTTTGTGTGCACGTGTTTGCATACGTAAATACATTTCTATGGTTTCAGTAGTTTATGGAATAGCAGTAGCAGATTACTCAGTACGTGTAACAAACAGAAGGAAGTTCGCACTGAGGAGTCTTTGAAAGGCAGCCATTCCAAATGCCCTCCATTTAGCATCAGTAGAGGTCCTTGCAGATGGGGGGCATCCATGGGCCCTGTGATTGTTACTACTGCTACCCACCACTTGGAGGCGCTCTCCTACCAGGTTCAATCCTGGAAGACAGAGACATTTTCCAGTCTGTTTCCCTAATGAACTTATATGAGTTGCTTGTGAGTTGTATGTCACTTACCTAAGATCAAATCACCTTTTAAGGGGATGACATTCTTTATGCGTTAACACCCAAAAGGAGCTGCGGGTAGGGAAGAGTTCTAAAAGAATCCCAGAAAAATGGGAAACGACACTGAATAGTATCTCCTGTGTCTTCTAAATTTGCTGCAAAATGTGTATCGGGAAAAAAAGAAAGGCAAATAAATTCACTATGGGTTACATCGCAAGAGATGGAGGAGAAAAATAGCAACCTAGGGTTTGGTGTTTGGTCCTTGACAACTGTTAAAGAATGGGTTTGTGGGTGATGGTCCTGTTGACACCGCTGTGTGTATTTCATACACTTTGCTATGAATACCTTCATCTACAGTCTGTCCTGTTAGGTTTCTTTTGGCAGGAAAGATCATAGAAAGATTGCTTAAGGATTGGGATATTTTTGAAAGATTTTTTTGTTTTTTTTGTTTTTATCTACACTTGTTTATGCTGTGAGCCAAACCTCTATTTAAAAAGTTGATACTCACTTTCAATATTTTATTTCATATTATTATATATGTCATGAGTAGTTATCTTGTTGTAAATATATAAAGATTTTTTTTTTTGGTTTCTGTAGATAGTAAACTTTTTTAAAACACAAAAAAGGGAAAAGGGAAACATTTTTATAAAGTTATATTTTAATCACCATTTTTATACATGGTAGCTATCCCTAAGCCCAGAAGGAAGATGATGATTTATTTCCATGGAGGTCTGTGGATAACCACTCATCTACCTATTCTAGTTTAAATGATAATCTCACACAATTATTTCTGTCAATTTAATGAGGATGCTGAATGGAATTTTTTTCCAGTGGTAGCTTTTGCTAACTGAATGAATTTTGAATCTTTGTCTTCAAAATGAAAGAGTTAACCAATACCAAATTTTTATAGCTGGTGTATATTCCTCTCCACCAGATGTTTGGTTATAACTTCTCCTCCCATTCTACATACAGATCTGTTTATCATCTAAAGTATGTTGATTTCCAAGAAAACCTTGATTGTAATTTCTACTGTTTACCTTCTCTGAAGTCATAGAAAAAGTGTTTACATTAAAAAGTCCTTTGTTTCTCACAAATGTAAATTCCTCCCTTCTAATGCATGATTTTACAATAATCCATAGCCTTTTTAATTAGCCAAAGATACCACAATAAGATAATCAACATGGTTTCAAGGCAAAATTTTCAGTAAGTAGGAAAATATAAAAAACGATCAAATGGATGCAGACTCTACTTAAATAGTTCGAATCAGTTTCAGTGTTATTTCAGTTAACACCAGGGCTTCATTATCTAACCCTTACTGCGTTGTTTCCATTTTCTGAGTATTGCCTGTGAGTCTCTACATTTGCAAAATTTACTGTGAGTCAAATATATCTCCTCGTGAAATGAGCTGTTGTTCATCCCTTGCAAATGAAAGATGAAAAGCAAAGGCATTTATACTCACACACCCATTGTATTAACTTACTTTAATCGTTTCCCCTTTTCCAATAGCTATACATCTGTATAGTTAATATAAATATAGGGAAAAGTTAAGTGTGGACTGAGTGGAATGACAATACCATTGTGGATTCATACGTGCATATAAGCAGTTTTATTAAAGCTGCAAGGGTGAAGCCAGCCAGAATATCTCAGCCAGCTCCCTGGGTGTGTTTATTTGCTTGTTTAAAGGTACATGAAATAATAGGGTTATTAATGACCAAGTCAATTAGAACGTCTTTGTTCCAGATTTGTATTCACCAATCCGGGCAGATGAATAATTTTTAAATAACCATAGTATTTAAGATAGATGTCAGCTGAAATGAAAACATGGAGGTCCACCACGTGTATAACTTTGATACATACCTGGGACATCTCCAAGGATGCCTAGGAATATAAAAAGGTATGTTTTGCTAATGATGTTTCCCCGCTCCTGGTGACAGCAATATTACTGTGTTCACTTGCATCTTCAGAGCCTACTTCCTGTGGTGCCAATGTATTTGTTGCAATTTACTACATTTTTATATGAGCCTACTTATAGGTGCCGTTAGATAAACTCAGGTCTTTTGAATGAAGGAGTTTCTAGCACAGTTATGGATAAGGATAATTGTATAGACAGCCATAGAAATCAATAATAGGAAAATTTAGAACTGGTTGCTCTCTGTTAAGTAAAAATCTAAGAGTATTCTGTGTGTTATCAATGTCATTTCGAAATGCTAATAGGTTGCCTTTCCAGTGATCTGTCTAAATCAGCATTTAGAATATTATTTTCTTGGCAAAAACACCACTTTTGCTTTTTTCTTAACTGTAAAAATATATTTTTTTGTCATTTATGCAAGATCTGGTTTTGTTCTTACTAGATGAAGACAGTAGCTCTGTATAGGAGTATGTCTATATTGGTCTTCATCTGAAGTGTGAAGGTGTCGCTACATGTTCTGTTTAAGGAAGCATCTACTTTCTAAGGACATAATACACAACTCTGTCTGTTCTATTTTGGTTGAAATGCAGGACAAATCCTAACCTTTGCAATCCCAGTAATATTGAAGAAAAGGTATGGAATGACATGCAGATTGTTCATTAGCTGTATGTAGACTATTCATGTGCGATTTTCCTGTATCCCCTGCCTCTCCTTCCCAGAGAACTTTCCTGAAGGTAAAAGCTGTGCAGAAGGCATGAGCTTTGTTTAAATGATGGTAAAAATATAAATTATTTTCTAAGGAATAAAAATATGAAAATTTTCATTGTAAATAAAGTCTAAAGTTTGAAATGACTGCTGTACCAATTTGATGTATTTATTTGATGAGCAAATCCTGACTAAGAAGAATTGAATAACTCCCAAATCATTTATATTCTACTTTGAGAAAATTCTTGGTGCTTCCATATTATGGAGATCTCCACTATTCTTGTCAGTTATAATCTTTCTAAAATAATACTGAAAACCGTTATAAGGGTTTTACTATATTTCTTTTCCTTCCTAATTGATTCCCATTAAATGCTCTTCCAGATCAGTTGGAAATGGCCTCTCAGACTAGCAGGAGGCCCCGTATTGTAGAGTTCTGTAAGCTTTCATAATCAAGTTAATCAAGATTCTTCTTATTCTGTAAACTATGAACTAGTTGTGTAGAAAACATATCAGCACAATTTTAGCTGCTAATAGCTTAACTCCAGACACTTAGGCACTGACCCATGTATATATTTTGAAACCAAACTGGGTTTCTCCCATCATCTTGCCTAACAAGCAAAAAAACTTTTAAGACCATTGTTCTAGATTATTCATTTCTTTCATCATCTCTGTGAAGAAAAACTATGAATATGCTATGATAAAACTATGATATTTCAATTAAAAAATCTGTTCAAACTCAAATTTAAGACTAAGAAGCCAATTAGGCATTTGGGGTTGAGAGTATTGTGAAATTAAATTATTCTGAGGATTTCTAACCAAGAGGGAATGTATCAGTTTGGGGGTCAGTATACACATCATGTTCTCCCAATTTATTCCTCTAGAAAATATGCAAGTTCTTCTGGGAAATTTAGTTGAGAATGAATGAAGCCATAAGCGCTAAGTTAACTGTAAATTATCATTTAGGTAACTTAAAATGAGTTATATGTAAGTATTTGTATGTTTCACACCAATGAACCATTGTCAGAAAATAACATTTTTAAGTCTATGTTATATGCCACAGTTATTAGACAGTTTGTGCTATTACCTCACACATTGTATTTGTTAAAATAATGTTGCTTTTACCTTACCTAATGGGTGATTTCTGCCTTACCTGAATTGATCTTGTGCACACAGGTAAATTATTCTGATAGGTTAACAAGTTAACAATGGTAACAAAAATCATCGAGCTTTGTGTGTGTGTGTGTGTGTGTGTGTGTGTGTGTGTGTGTTTGCACGCGCATGCACTCTAAACATGTTTGAAGACACCAAACTGGTGATTAAGGCTTTAATTACTTGGTGGAACTTAGTCCACTGATTTAAAACTATTGACCCAATATAAGTTATTGTGATGTGGATGATATCTTAAAGTACAAGGAACTATGTATTGCTCAAAAGTGACACTGGCTTCTGATATGTGCTTAAGGCTGTGAGAATAGGCCAGATTTCTCAGGTAAAGGCAGCTAGTTCTTCTTTATATCATATTTTTAAGGTTGATTATTATTATCTTGTAGTTTTAGCCCTGGATTTCTTCTTCTTCAAAGAGTAATGGTGCATGGAAGAAAAGCCAGCCCTTCTCCTTATAAATAAGAAATACTGAGTGTGTCCATTTCTAAAACTTTTTCTCTTTGCTTCACATCAAGTGGTTCTTTAACCAGGAAAATAATTTAGCCAAACAATCTGTTTGCAAGAGAGTAATGTGAAATTCTCATATGTAAGCACTACCAATATATTTAATTTTTTATTTTTATTGAACCAAAACTCTGTTAAAATTTTTATTAAATTAATCTGAGACCCATAAAATGACTTTCCATGATACTGAGATATTATTGAATACTTTGCCATAACCAGACTTAGTATTTTGTAACAAAACTGTTGGAAATGCATTTGTCTAATGCCCTGTTGTCTTTTATAGGAAAAGTTTTATAAATATTCCAGTAAATACATAAGATTGATAAAAATATATTTATCACAAGAATTTAAGTGTTAAAATTAAAATCTAAGCTTTTCTGAGTTATCCCAAGACAGAATAATATATTACCCAACAAGTTATCATGGCTTAGTTGTTGTAAAAATAAATGGTCTGTTGCTATAGATTCTATTTTACTGAGCTCTAACCCAGTTAACACCCAAATATTTCACAGCAACAATAAAATTAAGAATTGTTAATTCTTAACTTTCATAGATGAAGCACTGATCAGTTGATTAACTATTCATTTGCGTGTATCTGTCAAGCACAATCAAATGGTAGGTTGGAATTTGAAACTTACAGACAGATTTAAAACTATTTTTAAAGTTTTGTGTTTCCTTTTCCAGTGTCACTAAAAGTATCTCTTTCAAATTAAGCAAACTGCAGCAAAGAATCCTTTCTTCTATGAAAAAACAAAAAACAAAGAATGAATAAAACAGTCCCTCAGAATCCCAAATCAGCGATAGGAGAAAAGTGTGGCTTCTCATCAATTTTACTTCTCTAAATCTTAGTAAAGAAAAAATAATCAGAAATTCTCTGGCATAATAAGGAAAAAGGAATGACTTTTACATCAAGATCTAAATGACCTCTGCTTTCACTGTGAAGTCCATGACACTAAGAAGAGAAATCTACAGAGCTGAGGACTGGGAGTAAGTACTACATAAAACCCTGCACATTTCCCAAGACACGCCTCCATGTTAGTGGGAGACCAATTCAGTTCTTGGTTACTCTGGACTAAAATGACATGGAGATTCCTATTTCAGCCTGGCTTCACTTATTGTACTAAGCATTCACAAGTGTGTCTGAATGTGAATTAGCTTTTAGAGATTGGAAACTGCTGCTCTGAACACTTTTGAAGGGAAGGATTTTTCCTCTAGTTGTTTTGCTCTGTATATTATACTAAAATACCCTGTTTATTAATGTGAAATTATATATAACTTAAAATTTTTTTTGTGAATATTACTTGTTGGTTGATAGAATTTCTCCTGCCACCTCTCTTTTTAAAATTTTCAAATTATTTTTTGACTCAAATCTCTACCTTTCAGCTTAGCTATTTATAAGCATAATCTAGTGCTGTATCCTTGCTATTCTTAAATAATAACACTAACATATCTATATACTACCTGTTAGTGAGATTTTAATGGCTTGACTTTTAATATGTACTTGGTCATCAGTTTAAGAAATGAATAATTTTTATACTCTACAAAATATTTGCATGGAACTTTTAACATATTATATTTAACTTTTTCTCACAAGTGTCAGTTTGTGTCTTAATATATCCTCACATAAGAATGCCTACAATTTTTGCTCCAAAATGACAATTTATTAGTTGACAAGCACTGGAAATAAATCTCACTGAACCTACACCTTGATATATCTTCCTAGAAATTTTTATCATACAAAGCACAACATGAAAATTGGTGCTTTTATAAATATTCTGGAATTCTATAACAGTGAATATGAGATTCTCCTTGGTTTTCTATAAAGATATTAGCATAAGAAACTAAAAGAACTTTATTCTGAATCCAGAGTGGTTTTGATTTTGGTTAGTTTGGTTAATCTGACTTGATTTCTGGTATGAAAATATGTTCTGATTTCTGATCGAGCAGTTGCTTTATCTTGACCAAAAACAGTGTAATCATATAGTTCTTATTTAGCATGTCCCAAATATTTTACCTCATACAATAATTGTAATCAGAGCATATAGAATAATTGATCTAATTTAATTTTCCTAAAAAGCAATATTTTCCAAAAACTTTCAACCAAAGTGACTCCATAGGGATATCTTTTGTGATATCCCCTACAGTTGATAATTTTAACAATAATTTTCTGCCCTCAAGAAACCTAAATATGCTCATTAATTAATAAATTTGTCCAATTTTTTAATTTTTAGAAACACAAAAATGAAGTATTGGAACATAAGCGAGCATTTTACAATTGGAAAAATGTTATCCTGTCATCTGTATTATATGCACTTAATATATGTAGCAATACCTGGTATCATCCCACTTGCAAGTATTTGTTAAGAGACATCATTAATTGCTAATAAATGTTTTGTAAAAAGTAGAATCTGTACAGAAAAATATAATAGATACAAGGTATTTATTTTTATCATTTTTTAGTTTAGACACCATGTTGATGCTCCCCTTTTGCCAGATTACTGGAAGTGCCTCAGTTTTATATATATATATACACACAAATACATATAGTAGATATATATTCAAAATTGTTAGATTGCATCATAGTTGATCAATGAAGATGTTACAATGTGAAGACAGTGTGTAACATAAAAATAATTCTGTGTTATCATGTTTGATGTAGTTATTTGTGCAAGCCAACTCCTCTACTTTTCCGGAGGCATATTTTCTTCTCATGTCAAGTACAATCTTATAGTACCCAAAGTACTCTGCAGTAAAATACCACTGACATTCCTTAATTTCTAACGACCCTTGGGGTGCCTATATTCCCATGATGGCCTCTTCCTTTTTACCACTGTGTCTATCATTCTTAGCCATGTTATCATCTAACTTTCTGCACCTAAGCTTATCCTTTCCCTAGTCAAATAGACTCAAACCAAGACAATCATATTTCTGACATTCCATTTCAGAATCCTGCAAAATAAACAGTGCTGCCATTTATCCTGAAAATTCTACAGTTTATTCTATAAAGTCTGTAGGTACCTAATACATAGAGTAGTTAAATTATACAGGCTTAAATATTTTTATTTCACATGTTAAAATTAGAATAATTTACATGATTCAAAATGGGTGTTTCAGCTAACTCACAGATAGTTCTCAGAAACTAATGTAAAGATATGACTTCTGCCCAAGGAATTTGTCCTTTTATCTACATGTATTGATTTCCCTGTTACCTATGAGTTAAAATGCCAACAGGTAAGCCTGTTATTTTTAAAGTTCCCTTCATTCTCTCACCCAAAACTATCCTCCCTCCAAAAGGAAGCACGCCTTATAATTTATATTTCTTTGTCTCAGGTAAATGCTCAAAGAAACATTACATACTCTTATTATACATACATTTTCCTTCTCTCTCCCTCTGTACATTCTCTCTCTCTCTCTCTCTCTCTCTCTCTCTGTCTCTGTCTCTGTCTCTGTCTCTCTCTCTCTGTCTCTTTTTCT